CCTCTGTTATGTTAATTTCGATTAATTTCCCTGAAGAAGTTCGGACCGGATTGCCGAACGCAGGAAACATTGGAATTAATCATTTCAATTTCGCTGAGATTTTACAAATATAATTTTATAAATGTCAGTTAGAGAACTACTGGAAAACCTGCCAGGGAGTACTGGACAGCTGTTTCATTAGCCTAGTTTGAGACTCTTCAGAAGTACACACCCACCGCTGGGTTTCGAACTCAGAACCTTGTGCTAACAAAGCGAGCAGCCCATAGAACATTAGGCAGTCACTGGGACCCACCAATTCATTGGTCACTCCATAAATTCTAACTTCTGCCCATTCACGACATAGCGCGACCATTTCACAATGTCTTTTTCGATGAGTTAATGCCTCATCTTCAACCTGCTGTACCATACTGGTCACGGGTTCCCACTAGAACCTCAGGTTAACTGCCTGAATAGGGCCAGTCGCTAGTGAGCATCAGATTAATTTTCAAGTATTGGTTTTGTAGGGATTTTGTTTGATTGCATGGAGGATTTCATCATAAGCTGACATCAGTTAGAGAACCAGTGCGAAATGGTCGCGCTATGTCGTGAATTGGCAGAAGTTAGAATTCAAGGACTGGCCATTGGATCGGGTCCCAGTGACTCAATGGTCTACGAGCTCGATAGCCTTGGTAACCAGAAGGTCCTGGGTTCAAACCCCGGTCGGTGCGTACTGATGAAGAATACCAAACTAGGACAAAACGGCCGTCCAGTGGTTCTCCAAATGATGTCAGCTCATAATAATAATAATAGCCTAGGCTATGTCACATCACCTCACCAGCAGTAATTTCCCCACTGTTATTCACCTCGAAAGACAAGGGGTATTTAAAGATGTTGGAATCCTGAACAGTAAATAACAAATACATGATTATAATAAGCATTAAGCATAAAAAGTGGAAGAGAAGTCACACACACAGAGAGAAAAAAGTCTCTACAGTTATTGATTTATATTTGCTTATTTATTATTATTTTTTTAAATTTCCCTATGATCTTAAAATGGGACATCAGTGGCGCAGTTTCCTCCTGTATATTCATGCATATATATAAATATAGAATATTGTCGATTACTTGAAAAAGGCAATAAAGTAGATTAAGCAATCATATGCGTACCTGTTTGCCTGTTATTATTATTATTATTATTGTTATTACTACTACTATTAATATTATTTCTATTGTTATCAATTATATCTACTTACTTTTCATGGATGAACGGATATGATTAATAAATAAGTTAGTTAGTTAGTGAGTTAGTTAGTTAGTTCATTAGTGAAATGAATGCTTACTTTGTTGATGTATAAATTCATGTATACGAAAGATCACGTCCGTGTCCAAATGCGTGAGAGCGTGCGTGCGTGCGCCCGAGCGCGCCAGCGTACTTATACCACATAAATATACGCACACACACACACACACACTCAGAAAGTAGGACAAGTAGAGATGATGATGGGCATGCTTGCTATTTTGTTACTGTTTCGTTGGTTGTCCTTCTGTTTAATTCAACGTCCATATTTTTGGGAGGGGGGGGGGGGGGGGTATGAAACTGTATATGATTGAAATTCAGTTGAGGCGAGTTGATAATGATTTAAAAGAGTGAATGAGTGAGTGAGTGAGAGACAGCAGAGGACGGAGTCAGTGTAATTCAACTTAAAATCATATTGATCAATATATTTTCTACTTGATGATAAGTGTCACTACCAGATGTGTGATGCTCATTTATATATATATATATATATATATACATGTGATGCTCATTATATATATATATATATATATATACATCTTGATTAACTAATGGTAATTAATAAGGATAAACCATGGAAAAATTGATTTTCAACCTTAAAATTCGTTGATTCACTCAAATTAAACCTTTCCCTTTTCCTTGGATAATTATTTCATTTATAAACTTAATTAATTACTAAAATTGTTTCACCCTAGCTTGGGAGTCATCAGCAGCACGCACCCACCGACAGGGTTCGAACCCAGGACCTTCCGGTTACGACGCTAGTGAGGTCGTAGATCATTCATACAATGGGACCACACTCCTGAATGGCCAACCCCAGTAATTCTAACTTCTACCAATTCGTGATTTAGCGCGAATGGCACCAATTAATGTTATCTGCGGGAACTCTATGCTCCCTCCCGACTAGATGCACCTTACTGGTCACTAGAACTCCAGGAAACTCCGTGCTGTAGCAAGTCATGCTCTATGAGCTTGCCTCGTAACCGAAAGGTCCTGCGTTCGAACCTCCCCCCGGGCGATGTGCTGGATGTGTACTGCCGATAAGTCAGTCACAAACTAGGCTGACGAAACAGCTATCCACTACTCCCCGGTTCTCAATGGCTCTCTAAATGATATCAATCCATGGGCAAACTCAAAAAACCAATCAAATCCTTAGAAATCACCTTCTGAAAATTACAAAAATTATCATTTTTTTAAGATTTAGTTTTATTCGACTACGTTCCAAGTGGAACATCCAACTTGCCAGGCTAATAATGTTCAATCTTAGACGTGCATCTGCCGAGAATCGAAAGACTTAGTTTGCAGGGACTTGATTTTTTTTCAAGTAATGATGATTCCAAATTGACTTCATTTAGAGATCCATTGAAAACTACTAAGGAGTACTTACTGGACAACTGTTTCATCCTAGTTTGTGACTCTTCAGCAGTACGCACCCACCACTACGGTTCGAACTCAGGACCTTCTGGTTACAAGGCGAGCTCCTAGACCATTAAGCCACTGGGACCTGATCCAATGGCCCATGAATTTTGAATTCTGCCAATTCACGATGTAGTGCGACCGCTAGCCAATGTCTTCGGCGAGTATTCGCCCTCACACCCGACCTGCTGCACCCTACTGGTCACGACTTCTCACTAGAACCAATTATTACCTGTATGCACAAGAGATGTCTTTCGTGACTCAATGACTGACTGATTTCAACACACAAATTTGCACAGATGCGCAACAGTTCCAGTTGCCACCCCGCCCCCCCTCCATGTACCACACAAATCAAGAGAAGAGAGAGACAGTAAAGATAGAATCATCGAAAGAGAGAAAATATAATTAGAAGTGTGAATGAGGCAAAACAATAGTAATAGTAATAGAAGAACAACTAGAGTTTTATTGGATATGACTGGCAAATCACAAGAGTAAATGCATCTGCGCCTGCCATCATTGAGAACGAGGATTTTGAGTCATATCACCAATGATCTCCAGTCTTCATTGATTTTTACCATCCTAAGCGCCCCAACCAGGAAGTCTACAGTTACCAATGTGGCTAAAACCAACTGTTATGGATTCCAGTGACTGATGAAGCCATGTTTTGGTTAGACCACACCACTAATGACTCATTAGCTTAGTGAATAATGCTTTGACGTTTGAAACGGTCGGTGTTGGGTCTAAATCTCAATGGGAACACACCATTACACGCACACACAGACACACGCACACACTAGAGATGCAGGTACACCTGGATGACGTATCGTTAGTAGGACGAAACTTGCATCTTAGATTTCACTACTATCTACAACCAAGGGAACAACTTCCGAATTGCGATGCCCGATTACAAAGACAAAGTCAAAATGTTTTTCTAACCATATATGGGCCGTAATCCCATATAACTGATAACTTCTACTACTATTGGTATTATACTAGAAAACATGCACATTGACAAGCAACGTTAGCTGACATAGGATGGATCAGGTTGGAAAGAAGCTGGTGGTGAATATATTCCAAGACTTGGAATCAGTCCATGAAAGCTATGAAAGTTAGTCTGATTCACAGAGGGAGAAATGGACTAACTGGTTGGGATCATCGGGAAGCTAAAAACGACCGACTGCAGATGACTATTGGTGATATGGCCCAAAATCATTCTCAGTGGCTACTGTTTTTCCTGATTGCGGTAGACTGGATAATGCGACAGACAGTTGGCAGTGAGGAAACAGGCATAAAATGAACCCACACAAAATACTTGTGGGATCTGGACTTCGCCGATGATATATGTCTGATTTACCACAAACTGGAAGATATGCAAGTGAAATAGCAACAAGTTGACAGAAGAAGAATCATCAAAGATAGGATATCACTTCAGGTGAACATAGAGAAGGTGGAGACTGAGGTGATGAAGATTCCTGACCAACATCAACAGCAACAACAACAGAGAACAATCAGCATAAATGGGAGAAATCTGAAAGAAGCAACCTCCTTTACCTACCTACCTACTTGGGAAGCATCGTTCCAACTACAGGAACTGATGAGGATATCAAAGCAGCGGTGATCGGGAAAGCAAGGCAAGCTTTCATTACTCTCAAGTCTGTGTGGAGGTAGATCAACAGCACTTAGCATGAAAAACAAGATCCGGATTTTCAACTCCAATGTGAAGTCAGTGCTACTATACGGATCAGAGACTTGGAGCCGCGTCACGAAGGGCACTTCGAACAAACTACAGACCTTCATCTAAACAGATGTCTTCTCTCAATACTCAAGATCAGATGGCCGGTCAGAAAAGATCAGCAATAGTAAAGGATCTCTGGCAATGAACGAACCAACCCAGCAGGAACCAAATGTGCAACAAATCTGCAGGAAGAAATGGAGGTGGATTGGTGGCCATACTCTGAGAAAATAAACCATCAAGTGACATCACACGCCAGGTTCTCTCTTGAGAGGAACCCGGATGAGAGGCGGCGAACTGGTCGTCAGTGCGAGGGTGACACGGAGGATGTCATGTGAAGAGATGAAAGCTTGTGAACAGACGTAGAGCTAGGTGAAAACGTTGGCAGAGAACCGAACGCAATGGAGACGTGCACGGCTGAAGCCCTCTACTTATTACTATTGTCGTTTAGAGTCTCATTTCTTCCTCTCTTTTGCCTTCCTTAGTGTACACACATGGAGTATTGCAATTGTGTGCAATGTTTGTATTATTAAAATCAATCGGTAAGACAATTAATACATCCTCTGCACAACTCACCTGTATAATACAAATATAACGTCGTTTCCATTTTTTAAATGTTGTTCTCCCTTGAATCCAACAATAATTACCATATTTACAATTAGTTGGACGTTGCATAGACAAGGAAATTTGTAATTCCAATGGATCATGACAGTGTTTTGTTGTCTGTAGTTTATACCAGAGGGGATTTCGTGGACTTGACCAAGTTATATTGATAGTTACCTATTTTTTTTGTTGCGATTTTATCGACAAAGAAAACAAAGGAAAAAGGAAATTTACATTATTAAAATATAATTAAACATTATATGAATGAAAGACTGAGAGAGATATATGTGAACTGAATGTGTGTATTAACAAGATAACTACGCTAATCGTTCACCGGCCACGTCATCAAGGACTGCCACAACAATAACAATACTACAAGTACGTGAAGACAAGTAAGAGGAAAGATGTTAATATATATATGTGTAAAACTTGGGCACTGTGGTAGTAAGTAATTCCATATTAGTTTGTTTATTAGATGTATCACACAGTCAGTGAAACAGTATTATTATTTACTGGATGACAAAGTTCCGAACAAAATTTATTGTTCATAATCACATCAATTGTAATCACACACGACTTTGAAACTTGAGTTTTATAGTTTTCTTTGTTTTAAATTAGTCAGGAAATATGTAAGGAAATGTAAAAATAAAATAAATAATGATAGTAGCGATAGTGTAATAACAATAATAATAATAATAATGACGACACCAACAATAAGGAATCTAAATCATCAGTAGTAATTCCATACAAGGAAGGAACCTCGGAAACCTTACGCAGAATTCTTAACAATGTAGGCAAGAATAAAAGTGACTGGCATTCAAACCTACCACAAACTCAATTAGAAACAAGCTTTTTCAGTTAAATGGTGAATCCTGTGGAGCCTTTAAAACAAAACAATTTAGTTTATCTAATACCCTGTCTGCAATGATTGTCAGGTCAAATTAGTAGAACAGGGGCAGTCAGTCAGACTAGCTGAACATAAAAACTTAGCAAAATCTAGATTGGTTGATCCAAGTAAGATAAGCAATCTAGAGAATAGTTCAGCTATAGCACTCACTACATGCAGTTACACACAACCATACAATAGGATGGGATAGGATGACAGTGTCAAAATCTAATGTCACAGAGTATAGGGAGAGATTGATAACAGAAGCTTTGTTTATCGAGTCAACTGCAAATACGTGTAATAGGAATGATTCATCACCTGTCCCAGATATCTGGAAAATTCTACTACCCCAAGGACGACAAATAGGAGAAAACAAAGAAAACTATAAAACTCAAGTTTCAAAGTCGTGTGATCACAACTGATATGATTATGAACAGCAATAAATTTTGTTCGGAACTGTGTCATCCAGTAAATAATAACTGTTTCACTGTGTGATATATCTAATAAACAAACTAATATGGAAGAGGAAAGATGTATTGTTGATTAGAGGCGATGAAAGTACTTCTATTTAATAACGGTTCTTCTCCTCCTCCTCTCTTGTATCTACTTGTCTGTGGTGGTATTATTGATATTTGAAGTTTTTGTATTTTTAATATATTTTCTGTGTGTTGACGTTTCTCTAGCGGTTTGAAAGTGTTTTGTGATGTGGGTTTGTTAGCCCCACGCCCAACCCTCCCTTTTTACCGGGGCTTGGCACCGGCTAGTTAACTAGGCGAGGTTTTTGCAAGCGAAAACCAACAAACTGGCTGAAGAGACAGGCAGAGAAAACGGGACGTCAGGTGAACACAGAGAAGACGGAGTTGATGAAGATAACCAACCAACCAACCACCAACAGCAACCACAACAACCAGCACCAATCATCATCAACGGGAGAGATTTAACAGCAGTTACCACCTTCACTTATCTAGGCAGTCAGCATCGTTTCAACAACAGGCGGAACGGACGAAGATGTCAAAGTCGGAAGTGGAAAGGCAAGGTAGGCCTTCATCAACCTGAAACCAGTTTGGAAATCTTCTACACTCCGCAGCACAAGGAACAAGATTCTCATTTTCAACACCACTGTCAAATCTGTCCTTCCCTACGGGTCAGAAACTTCCAATGCATCTCACAAAAAGGATTTCCAACAGGCCACTGCAGACTTTAATCAACAGCTGCCCACCTAGCTGCCTGGCTACATAATGAAGATCAAATAGCCGGCCAGAAAGAATAAGCAACAAGAAACTATGGCTGGGAACAAACCAACAGGCGTGAGCCGATCGCTCAACAAATATGTAGGAGAAAGTGGAGATGGATCGGGCATACATTGAGGAGGCCGCCCAATGACATCGCTCGAGTGGAATCCAAATGGGAAGCGAAGAGTGGGTCGTCAGTGCGAGGGTGACATGGAAGAGATCGTGTGGCGAGGAGATGAGAGAGTTTAGTCAATCGTGGACCAAGCTGAAGAGGATAGCAGAAAACGAACAAAGTGGAGATGTGTTGTTGAAGCCCTGTGTTCCATTCGGAATGCAAGGGAATAATAATTATAATGAACTAATTATTGATATAATAATAGTTGACTGTGTGATTAACAGTTAGCATAGTTAGTTTTGTGAGAGCATTAGGTTCACATTAGCTCACAATTTATTATTTTAATTATTTTATTTTATTCCTCCGTTCTCCTCTAAGTAGAACTGACGGCTGTAGGCTTTGAGCTTTTAAGTTTCTGTAACAGTCTCCTTCTTCTTTTTTACGAGATGGGTTTGCTGGCCTCATGCTTAATCACCTTGCCTCTTTACTGAGTTAACTACCGGCAAAGCGAGATTTCGAAGCGCCTGGTTGGCCGGTTTACTTGGTAGTATGATAGGTTATATCGAATTCGGCGACTCTTTCAGAGATAAACCTTGTCGGCTTAAGGAGCCAAAAGATCCAATTAAAAAAATAATATAATTTACCCAATACCATGTAATGACTGTTAGTGAGATCAGTGAATTAGATCAAACTAGTAGATCGGGGTCAACTAGATTACTGCAACATAAAAATTTAGATACAGGAGTTCATCATGAGCTGACATCAGTTAGAGAACCATTGGAAAACCTGCAGGGAGTACTGCCAGACAGCTGCTTCATCAGCCTAGTTTGGGACTCTTCAGCAGTGCGCACACACAGTTACGGTTCGAACCCAGGACCTTCTGGTTACAACGCTATGAGCTCGTAAACCATTAAGTCAATGGGACCCGATCCAATGACCAACCCATGAACTCTGACGTCTACCAATTCACGACCCGACGAGTGCGTACTGCTGAAGAGCTTCAAACTAGGCTGACGAAACAGCAGTCTGGCGGTACTCCCTGCAGGTTTCCCAATGCTTTTCTAACCAATGTCAAGTCATGATGAAATCCTGTATGCTATGTATCTTATTTTCCTCATATTTACCTGTCAAATGAATTGATAGGATTTGAAATTAAGCTACTTGGAATGTTACGGAAGTTTTTCTTTTCCATTCAATAAACCTACTCCTTAACCTTGACCTTTAACATTATAGCTAAATGTATTAATCTGAATTACAGACGAGTCGACTTCTACCTTGTGTGAAAAGACACTATCAAAGTCTGTTTGCAAACAGGAGCCACGAAATCAAGGACTTCAAATTTCATTTCAACCTTGTATCAACATAAACATTGATAAACACACAGGACAAGTAGTAGTGTGGTGACAGCTGTCTACTAGCCAAATTGGTAGACAGTAATTTACGTCAATGTTTACGTTCTCAAGATTTGTCGTGAGAAAATATGAACAAAGATTGATTCAAAACCGACCACAGCAGACTTTGCGTAGGCGGATACAGTTAACATATAGAGGATTTGACATTCAAGAAACAGTCACAAAGAGATGAAAGATTAACTTTAAGTGAGAAACAACCAGTCAGAAGACTGTGTTTGTTTGCTTATCTAAACTATAATAATGTACATTAAAATATATAAATATGCTTTGATTTCCTTAATAAACGATCTGTTGCCTGACCCTTGCCTTCTGTTGTTACAGTAGTAGTAGGAATGTCACAAAATATACACCAAATCCTTATTATTAATATCTGACTTACTCTTCCTAGTTCTTTATCATCAAGTGTCAGGGGTCCTGAGCATTCTTTGAAAACTTTCACCTTGACTATAGGAAGTGGTTGTGATGTCTGAAATTCTGCTGTAGTATTCCATCTGAAAATATTTCATAAAAAACAAGATAATGATGGTGAATGAACAACATGAAAGTCAAAAAGTGTTCAAATATTTCAGAAGCCTATATAGAAAACTATATGCTCGCACTAGCAAGTACAAAAACTCAACCATACCCTACTTGGCTCGTGTTCTGTGCGACAAAGAAAGCATTAGGCGTAATACCTATAACTTATCAAATAATCAGTAGAATAAATGGATCTTTCCAACTCATATAATTTATAGGTACAACGTTTTTCTTTCTTTCTTTTCGTTTCCTCTCTCTTTTTTTCTGCTATGTGCTGCTCTGTTTCTTTCTCTCGCTTACGCCAGTAATTATGACAGCACCTACTTTTCTAACACCTTCAAACACTGTTCAGCGTTGGCTCTGCTACCGACATGCCAATATGTTGTTGTCATAATGAACTGAGATTTCCTTAATCTATGTAGAATTCTATTTATTGATAATGTACTAACTGGATGCAATACTGTAGTAAAAAATGCTGAGAATTCCATTCTGTATCACAAGTACTGTTTTGGAATAAAGCAAATTATTATTAAAATAAAATCAGAAAGGATTATTTACATTATGAGTTTGATAGAACACTGGCCAACCAAGCAAGTAGTTTTGGGCCCCGTCCGACTCACTCCCTAACCTCCCTCTCTCTCTCTGAGGCAGTAGTAAGCCCAGTGAAGAGGAAAGGTTGGGTGTGAAGCTCGGAACCCTATCCCGAGTAAAAAAACGCCACTGGTACTGAAACTTTAAAGTTCAAGAGGCTTGAAGCCCCCTATGTTCTTCCACTAAGAACTTGAGAACAAAATGAAAGCATGGTGCATTATGAGTTTTCTACAGATTCGCACTAAATTTAATATAAATTTGGTGAAGAATCGACGTCAGTCAGTTAAAAAATCATGGGAAATCAAAAAGCATTGAACAGCTGCTTCGTTCACGCGTCTGGAACTCTTCATGTGTACCCTCCTGCACCTATGATCCTTCTATGAACTGAACCTGGTTATCAGACTATATCGTTGGTCAACGCCTTGAAGTTCTGATGAGAATTTGTAACCAGTAGAGTCAACCATGTCCTATGTGAAGTGAATATTTACACCGGCTAGGACACTTGTCGACCATGCACATGGTCCGGGGCTCGATCCCCGGCCACCGACGCACACCTACTAACAATGGTCGGCCTGCTAAATTTGGGCTACCGATATCACATACTGAAAATTCCGTACTTGTACCAAAATACTGTGTGGAATCAAGCTATAATCAAAAATGTTTTATCAGAAATTTAAAATTTAAATGTATGATGACATTGTGATTGTCTGTAGAGTTGTATTACAAATTGACAGTGAAGCGAACAGAAAGGCAAGCAACTTAAAAGTCAGTAGTGTAACATCACAAGGAGGCGTTTGACAGCTCGATGGATAGACAGCAGGAGATGCAGCACTTTCGCACCACAAACCTAGGAGTTAACGGTGACCTTCTTGTATTTGTGCTGATCCTGACAAACCTACTGCGTCTTGCGTTACCAACACTGGACGAAGATTTTTAGGTACAAATGTTGGCGTCTCAGTTTATCGAGAGTGTTCCAGAGCACATATCTCAACAGTTACATGTGATTCACGCCGAACAGCCAAAGGACATTGGGGAGCTCGCAAAAATGGCCAGGCAACTATCAAGCAAGACAGCTGTCACGAAAGATCCACCAAAAGTCAAGCAATATGAGCAACAAATTGAAGAGTTGCAGCGTTAAGTAGCCGTGCTGAGAATGAGGGTGAGGAGGGACCGGTGTTTTGCATGCGGCAAACTGAGCCACTGGAAAAACCATTGCCTGGAGAGACGACAGAAGAAACTTTTTAAAAGGTTTACTGTGTTTTCGTTCTGTTCTCCTAGACTAGAGGTAATGAGGGCGATTGAGAAGGGGGTGATGTATTCGAAGTTGTGCGTAAAAACGACCGCGAGTTGGTGTGCTTAACTGACACACGGGGCAGCAGTCTCACTCGTAGATCAGAGTTTATGTGAGAATAATATTCAAGTATTGGTTTTTGTAGGGATTCAGTTTGATTGATTGGTTGGAGGATTTCATCATGAGCTGACATCACTTAGAGAATAACTGGAAAATCACCAGGCAGACACTCCTGTCCGACAGCTGTTTCGTCAGCCTAGTTTGGGACTCTTCATCACAAGTTAGAATTCATGGGCTGGCTGACTGGTTGGCTGACCATTGGATCGGGTCCCAGTGACTGCCTAATGGTCTACGAGCTCGCTAGCCTTGTAACCAGAATGTCCTAGGCAGTGGGTGCGTACGGACGAAGAGTCCCGAACCAGGATGAAACGGATGTCCAGTACTCCCAGGTTTTCCAATGGTTCTCTAACTGATGTCAGCTCATGATGAAATCCTCCATGCAATCAAACAAAATCATTACAAAACCAATACTTGAAAATAATTCTGATGCTCATTAGTGACTGGCCCTATTCAGGCAGTTAACCTGGGGTTCTTTTGGGAAGCCGTGACCAGTAGGGTACAGCAGGCTGAAGATGAGGCAGTAACTCATCGAAGAAGACATTGCGAAATGTTCGCGCTGCGTCGTGAATCGGCAGAAGTTAGAATTCAAGGACCATTGGATCGGGTCCCAGTGGCTCAATGGTCTACGAGCTCGCCTTGTAACCAGAAGGTCCTGGGTTCCGACCCCGGTGAGTGGATGAGTACTGATGAAGAATCCCAAACTAGGACGAAACAATTGTCGAGTACTCCCAGCTGGTTTTCCAATGGTTCTCTAACTGATGTCAGCTCCTGATGAAATCCTCCATGCAGTCACAAACTAGGCTGCCGAAACAGCTGTCTAGCAGTACACCCAACCATTCAAAAACACATTGTCTGTATCACACCACCACACTACTGTTTGTTATTCGATACCCCTTATTTCCTGAAATAATTCACCCTACAAACACTTTTATCATTATCATCATCATTAGCGGCAACAGCATCAGCATTTCTTTTTTCATTCACTCCTCTTATAGAGTAGATAATATTAGATACTTTCAATATTATTTATTTCAAAGTATATGACCTTTGAAAAACAGAAATTTTGAAACAGTTCATCTCATCTCATTTTGTCTGTTGTTAGCATAAACATAGTAGAGTCAATGAAAGAGAGAAAAGATAGAGAAGAGTGGAGTGAAGTGAAGTGAAGTAAAGTGAAGTGGGGATAGAAGAGGAGAAAAGAAAAGAGAAGAGAAATAAATGAAAACATAATGATCACCATCAACAACAACAACAACAACAACAGGATCACTAGTAGCAGTAGTAGCAGCAGCAATAGCAGAAGGATAAAGTATAGTTAATCAATATTTTATATTTATCTGCCATTCCTATTGTATCGCTTTCATTCTCCATTTTTCTCTCTATGAATCTTTAAACCTTTTGATTCATCTCTCTAGTTCTATTATTATTATGATTATTATAATTATAACCTGCTTTCTCTTTCTCTCTCTTTCACTCTCTCACACATACACACACACACATACACAAACTGATACATTCTACTTATTTGTAAACAGTAATGCTGTGAAATTAGATCAAACATTAGGAGAAATAATCAGGTGAGAAGAATTATGTTCCCCTTTTTTTGTTTTTATTTTTAACCGAAAACTGAAAGTTTCATTATTATTATTTTTCCTTTTAGATCAGCAGAAGAAAAAAAGTTGTTTCTACAAGATAGTTTAAAAGGTGACAACACAGTGGTAGACTGCTTGCCCACCACAAGATAGATGGTCAGGGTTCAATCCCCGGCCGACGAACGCACTCCTCCTCCTCTTACCTCGCTAAGCCAGTAGTAAGACTGGCAAACGGGGAAGGTTGGGGTGGGGGTCATGAGGCTGGCTAGCAACCCTATCCCGTAAAAAATAATCATCACTGCTACAGAAACTTCAAGCCTCTAGCTTGAAGCCCCCCCCCTATGTTCCACTGGGGGAACGTAAAGAAATAAAAAAAATATTATTATGTCATAAATATACTAGTCAGTTAAAGTGACTATTAATGAGGGAATCATTGAAAATCAGCAAGGAGTCCTGGACAGCTGTTTCGTCCTAGTTTGTGACTCTTCACTAATACGCACCCACTACTCCACCGCTAGGGATAGAAACCAAGAACCTTCAGGTTACAAGATAAAGCTCCTTGACCATCCCTTAACTTGGATCGCAATTTGATGGCCTGGCTGGCTGGCTGGCGGATTCAACATAGAACTTGCCACCGAAGTGCAGCAGTTCGAGTTGCCACGTTCCAAATAGCACACAAAGGTAGACAAGAAGATGGATGAGTGAAGAGAATCAATAGAGTTTTGACAAGTATAAGAGTGAAACAGAATGAGTAATGGTAGAAAGGAATATGAAAGATTACAGAGACTGAATACATCTGCGTGAGCCATTGACAACGATTTTGAGCCATGTCACCTATTGTCTCCAGCCCTCATTGATTCTTAGAGTCCCGAGGGCGGGCCCCAACCCGGAAGTCTGCATCTCCCTACCTGACTCAGTTTAACTGTCAAGGATTTCATGGATTGATGATGCCATGTTTTTGTTTGGAGAGTAAAGATATGATCTATGCACCCTCTACCTGGCCTAAAGCCTGCTTGATTTTCCCTCGTTTGTTCCTCCCGAGTTCGGCTTAGTCTGTGCATGATTACTGAGCCTAGGATTTTAGAGACTATGTTCGTCAGGCTGATTCCTCTATGATTATCACATGAGGACTTGTCTCCCTTCTTGAATATCTCTATAATAAGTGACTTACCCCAATCTGATGGAACCGTCTCTGATTCCCGGACGTTACCTAGTACCTTAGTTAAACTATATACTAGTATGTCACCCCCATATTTAAACACCTCCGGAATAATTCCGTCGGGTCCTGCCGCTTTGCCTCATTTCAGATTACAGATAGCTTTTGTGACCTCACTTACAGACGGTGGGCCAGTGTCTATATCCCATTCGGGTGTGTGCTGGATGGCGGGGAGGCTCAGTGTGGCTGTAGGCAAGTTAAATTGTTCCTCAAAGTGTTCTTTCCAGCGTTCAAGGCGTCTATGGCCTATGAATTCTAATTTCGATCAACCTACGATTTTAGCGCGACCACTAGCCGAATTTCATCGGTTTGACTTGACATCAATCAGTGATTAAACCTAGAACCAATCAAATCTTTAAAAATTATCTCTTGAAAACTAATCTGATGCTTGAAAGTGACTGGCTACAGGAGGAAATTATCTGGGGTTCTAGTGAGAAGTTGTGACTAATGCGGTCCACCAAGCTGGGTGAGAGGACAATGATACTCGCTAATGATATTGACTGGTTGTCACGATAAAATCAAAAATTACCAGAAGTTGGAATTATGCATAGGCCATCGGATTGGATCACATTGACTAAATGGTATACGAGCTTCCTTTGTCACTCACTATAAGGTGTCGGATTAGAACCCCGGTGGTTGTGTACTGCCAAGAATTTCCAAACTAGGACGAAACAGCCGTTCAGCACTCCTTGCTGGTTTTTAATGGTTCTCATATTGATATCAATCCGTGACCAAACGGAAAATAAGTTGAGTCCCTACAATCTAACTCTTGAAAACATCATTTTCCTTTGAATACACAGGATAAGTGTTGAAATGTGTATTCTACTTCAACTACAGGCGACCCGGATAAGGATATCAAAGCCAGCCAGCGGGCAATGAGGAAACAGGCATAAAATGGACACACACAAAAACACTTGGAGGATCTGGACTTCGCCGATGATATATGTCTGATTTACCACAAACTGGAAAATATGCAAGCGAAAAGAAACAAGTTGACAGTGGAAAAAGCATCAAAGATAGGACATCATTCAAGTGAACACTGAGAAAACAGAGGTGATGAAGATTCCTGGGCAACACCACCAACAGCAACAACAACAGACAACAATCAGCATAAATGGAAGGAACCTGAAACAAACAACCTCCTTTACCTACCGACCTGGGAATCATCGTTTCAACTACAGGCCAACGGAACTGACGAGGATATCAAAGCAAGAATCGGAAAAGTAAGACAAGCTTTCACTACTCTCAAGTCTGTGTGAAGGAGGTCAACACCACCACTCAGCATCAAAAATAAGATCCGGATTTTCAACTCCAATGTGAAGTCAGTGCTACTATACGGATCAGAGACTTGCACTGCACGTTATAAAGAGCATCTCAAACAAACTGCAGACCTTCACCAACAGTTGTCTTTGCTCAATACCACTGAAGATCAGATGGTCGGTCAGAAAATATCAGCAACAGGGATCTCTGGCAATGAGCGAACCGACACAGCAGGAACCGATTGTGAAACAAATAGGCAGGAAGAAATGGAGATGGATTGATGGCCATACTCTGAGGAAACAATCCATCAAGTGACATCACTAGACAAGCCATTGCTCGAGTGGAACCCGGCCGAAAGGGAAGCGGCGAGTTGGTCGTCAGTGCAAGGGTGACTTGGAGGAGGTCATGTGAAGAGGAGATGAAAACGTGTGGGCAGACTTGGAGCCAGGTGAAGACTGTATCAGAGAACTGAACGCAATGGAGACGTGCACGGCTGAAGCCCTATGTTCCTCTAGGAATTAAAGGAAACAATAATAATAATTTCCAGGACCCTGTAAATGAACTAAACAGAATAAAAGCCATACTTGAAGAAACAATGGAAACGAAACTACGTGGGGCTACAGTTAGATTACAATAATAATGATAATAAGGATCGGAAATGGAAGACAGGTGTTCTTTAAACTGGAGTCAGTGTGGAAATCTACTGAACGTAGCAGTATAAAGAACAAGATTCAGATTTTAAACACTAATATCAAGTCAGTTTTTGCTTCTACAGTGTTCTTAGAGAGAGAGTGAGTATACGCACCACTCTGGAAGAATTTCCATCAAGCCACCGCCGACTTTCATCATCAATAGCTGCCCGCTTTCGCTCCATTAGCGACAAAACAACCAACCCAATAGATATGCTGAAGAAAATGCAGATGGATTGGACCCCCTCTGGGGAGGCCACTGAGTGAAACCCAAATGGCAAATTAGTTGGGCTTAGGGTCCAACTGTAACATTGGTGAGATCGTGTGGGGGAGGAGATTGGAGTTTAGAGGCGTTTGTGAAACCAGCTATAGAAGACTGCAGAGTATGATAGAATGAATGTTTGGAAACCCTCCCCCCCTGAAAAATCTACTTACAATATTGATTATTTTTTTCAATATTTCAACCAGCTTTGTAGTTATTTTCCTCTTTTTCCTAGGCTATATACCATTGTTCTAACGTTTTCACATCACCTACAGAATTACTCCTTATTATTCGGCCTTGTTCTTATGTGGTGTTTAATTTAAATACTTTCTCAAGTATTGGCTTTGTAGGGATTTCGTCTGATTGGTTGGAGGATTTCATCATGAGCAGATATCAGTTAGAGAACCATTGGGAAACCATCTGGGAGTCCTGTCAGGCAGCTGTTTCGTCAGCCCAGTTTGTGATTCTTGGGCAGTACGCACTCAGGACCTCCTGGTCACAAGGTGAACTCAAACTGATATCAGTTCAGGATGAACTCCTCCAACCAAGCAAATAAAATCCTTACAAAACCAATACTTGAAAATTAATCTGATGCTCACTAGCGACTGGTCCTATTCAAGCCGTGACCAGTAGGATGCAGCAGGTTTGAAAGGAGAGGTTGTAACTCATCAAAGTAGACATTGCGAAGTGGTCGCGCTATGTCAAGAATTGGCAGAAGTTAGAATTCATGGAGTGACCATTGGATCGGGTCCCAGTGGCTTAATGATCTACGAGCTAGCTCGCTTTGCAACCAGAAGGTCCTGAGTTCGAACCCCTGTAATGGGGGATGCGCACTGATGAAGAGTCCCAAACTAGGCAGACAAAACAGCTGTCCAGTATTCCCTGCAGTTTTTTCGAATGTTCTCTAACTCAAGTCAATTCATGTTGAAATCCTCAAACCAGTTAAATGCTTTTCTTTGCGGTTGTGCAATGGTTTTCATATGTGTTCTTTTACGAGCGTCGATGGCACAGTGGTTAGGACTCTCGCAGACCATGAACATGGTCCAGGGTTCGATCCCCTGTCGGCGCACACCCGATATCTATGGTCGGCCTGAATTTGGGCTACCGATATCCATGGTGAAAATTCCACACTTGTACTGAAAATACGGTGTGGAATCAAGCTGTAAATCAAAAAAAAATATGAAATATAGATTTTGTTTGGATGAAGTCAACATTTGCTGTGGGGCTTTTGACCTTGGAATGTCTGCAGGAAGTGTCCGGTGCACGATTCTTGTTGACAGAGTTTTGATCCTACCACCCTGTTGGGCATATTCTTCTTGATTCTCAGGTACTTCTTACGGTTGATTTCGGTTACATAATTTTATCGTATAGTACTTGTTTTGTACAGCTGACTCACGCCATTGCAGGGGGAATTACTCTATTCTTTATATGTCATTATTGTTGAACAGGTCCAAAGATTTTATCACAAATAACTGGCGTTTAGCTGTCTTCGGGTGATTTTGGAACTGCCCGTAACTCAGAAAGTTTCGTTTAGCTATATAGTGGAATGCAACAATTGGTTTTTTTGAGTTCAGACCCCAACATGTTGGTTGTAGTTGCTACACAGAGGACAGGATGAAATGGAGATGTTCTGTGGAAGCCCTATATTTCAATACAAACGAATCTAAGGGAGTAATAACGATTAACCCTTTGTGTTCTGAGCGGAACAAACGGTCTCAACGTCACATTTTCAATACACTTGGTTTTCCCTGTCATCACTTTCAACTGGCTCTACCACCACTGCTCACTTTCCCCTCCATGTCATCCTAGGACCAGTAACTTCTCATTCAAATTCTAAACGGAAACCAGCATGTGATGCCAGTTGAATTCTTCCTCAGAGTATCCTCAGTCCATCTTCATTTCTTTGTACATATATGCTGGGCAACAGACTCATGATGACCAACACTTATATACATGAGGAGGTCCACATACCAAAAAAGAAATAATAATAACCGATGAATCCATTCACATTGGTAAATGAACAAGAGGAAGAAAGTATCACTTACACTGGTTTACTAACTTCAACAGATTCTGTTCTCTTTCGATCAGGTGTACAATCCAGTTCTATAGCACAATACAACTTTTTTGTACGAGGTAGATTATGAATATTTCTCACTTGATGAACTAATATCTACAAAGAGTTGAATAAAATGAGAGAAAAAAAACCAGAAAACAAAATTTAGTCATCTAGTTACCATCAATTAATGAAATATTTGAGGAATACAAAGACGAGGTTGACCAATAATGAAGCAATACAAGCTAATAATAAAGACATTCTACACAGTGAACTTTACAAATAAAAATTCACATATAAACCAATCATGGTGTTTTGTCAATAGGATAATAAGATGGTGAATATAAATTGGGCAATTAGTCATATTAGTAGTAATGATAATAATAATGATGATAATAATAATAATGGTTTTGATCAGTAATAAGGATGAAAAAGTGAGGCAATCTGTGATAACATGAATAATGAAAAACAGCATGATTAAACAAACAACTATTCAGGTGGAAGTAGTCTATAAAGGCTAGTAAAAACAAATGAACCGATTCAGTAATGCTAGATTGTGAGCGAAGTAAAGAAAATATGTTTTTAATCAAGATATGATAAGAGAGGGGTCCAAAATATAAGTAAGGGGTGGTGGAGACGTCATCAATTAGTTGGTTAGGTCTTAAAATAGGCCAACAAGGGAGGGATAATGGCTGTACGAACTTCTTTTTTTGAATGCATAGTTTAGGTTTAATAGTTCGAATGGCTATCGCCTCAGCTGTGTGCAGTAGACGAATACGAAATCTGTTGGAAAGATTCGGTGAGATACGATGAAGTATTTTGAAAGCTATCGTTTTCTCCACTACATGACCACTATCAAATAAATGTGACAAGATTGAGCTACGGATTGTTTCTGTCTGTCCTTTGTCAAACCACGATGGGAGATACTCACTAACACGCCCAATATAACTGTCACCGCAGGTGCAGCTGAATTCATAAATGCACACAGATGTGGCAAAACTATCAAGCTTATCCTTCGTTTGTGTCCCAATCATTCATCGGCTAGAGAATGACAAACATAGGTATGCTGCATAAAATGTTCTTCGTATACTCCTGGAAAGTCTTTGGAATAGAATCTCACTTGATAAGTCACCATTAAATTGTAACTTAATAAATAGAGGTTTCTTACGTGCAGTCAGAGTCTCAGGTTTTCTCTCTAATGTTTTCATATGTTTCTTTATGAAACTACTTGGATAGCCCATCTCTGTGAAGGAATCGTGAATATATTCAAATTCCTTTTGTAAGAGGTTATCTGTACATATCTTGCTTGCTCTGCTCGTAAGACATTTAACAACATTAACAACAAAGTGTGCGTATTGCCCTGTGAATGTGACCCATCTTCTCGCCTACTTAGCAAGACTTCCAGAAAATGTAGTTTACTATCCTGCTCCTTTTCACAAGTAAAGGTAAGCGAAGGGTGGACGTTGTTGAATTTCATCAACAATTCGTCTATGTTAACATTCCCATCAGCTAAGATAAATGTATCATCGAAACAACGGTAATACATATCAAACTTCTTGATGATGTCTTTCAATTTCCCGTTTTCAAGTTTTGCGAGGAAGAAATCAGCTAATATTGGGCCTAATGCTGAACTCATCTACTTGTCGGTAGTATGAATTATTGAAGACAAAGTGAACATTCATTGTGCATTTAAGAAGTAATTCTTTGAGGCTATACAAGGGAATTCCTAAGTCCAATTGCCTTTCATTGATTTCTTGACAAATGTAATCTACCGTTTCTATAAGCAGTACATTAGTGAATAATGATGATACATCTATGGATAACATGCGTTTATACCTCACATTAGTCTCGGATATTTTAGAAATAAAGTCGAAGACATCACTAATTCTATGTTGCACAATTTCTCTGTGCAAAGGACCCAGAATCTTCACTAACCACTTCGCTGTTCCATGAAAAGTAGAGAGTTATACATATCTAAAACAGGGCGAAGAGGAAGACCCGGTTTGTGCACTTTGGGTAGACCGTAAAGACGTGGAGTATTGGTACCCGTTGGTTTTATGGACTCATATGTGCCAAAAGAAGTGATGAATGGATCGAACACACGCTGAAGAAACCATCAGGTGGTATCGCACGCCAGCTAGGTCCTCGAATGGCACACGAATGGGGAATAGTGAGTTGAGTGTTAGTCCGAGGGTGACATAAGGAGGTCATGTATTCGGGCAAAGGAGATGAGAGACTATGGGCAATTGTAGAACCAGCTAAAAATAACCACGGAGAATAGGCAAGAGTGGGGATGTGTTGTTGAAGCCCTATTTTCCAAGGGAACAAAAATAATAATATATAAATAAATTCATTCCTAATGGAAAATAGAATTTCAGCTGTAACATCTCTGCTACACGTGATTCCTTGCTATCATTTCATCTGGCTCCACCACCTGCTCACAAGCTTTTATCTCTCTCTCTCCCTCCCACTTTCACGTGATCTTCCCCATGTCAACCTCGGGTACACGCCCAATCTGTCGCCTCGCCTTCCGGTTTCTCTCAATAGCCTGGCATGGGATGTCAATCAATGGTCTCAAACAACGTATATCTAGATGTCGTTTTACTCGGGGATATTTATCAATACGCCTTCTATCACACACTCAATGAGATAATTAAATACATTGGTGGGAGTGTACGCAAACGACTTATGCGTTAAATAACCCATAAGTAATTTCAACATAAAAAACGTTGTTGTTGCTTAATTTGAATGATAGTTCACCGTTTTGAACAAAAGTTGACACTGTGAAATATTAAATTATCGATACAGACACCAAAAATTATTTTCTTCTTCCAGAAAAATACTTTGTTTCAGCTAAAATAAAATCCGTCTCCTTAAAAATGACACTCAAGCAAGGTTTTTTTTCTTTTCGACGATTCATTTTCATGAGTTGTACAATCGTAATTATAATTAACAAAGAAATCTTTAGATCAATCAGATACTGGTACACCTTGTCCTTGAAAAATTGCATTACATAATGTAAGGTGTAGGAAGTGATGACTAATTGTAAGTTAGAAAAGGAGACAGAAGTTGGCATGACGTAATAAGTGTGGGATAATGACTAATCAATAAGACTGTGTAGAATGGACAGGAACTAGTGGAAAGGCTATAAAGTGTTTTTGTATAAAATCTGTATGAAAAAGTAATGTTATTAATAAATGGTAATAGAGTGGTAATAAAATGTGGATGATAGGAATAATAATGATATTAAAACTATTCTAAATGTCTGAAGAAGATATTTCCAACAGCCACTCTACGTATCACATTCTCCTGCAGACAGTTAATTTAGTCTAACGCTAAGGACAAGATACCGCTTTTGGCCACCTCAATGTGTATTTATCAATTTACTTGCTCGTGTGGAGCAAAGTACATCGGCCGTACGCAACGTCAAGTCCACAAACGTATTCTGGAACACTGTCCACCTTGGTTAGCCAGCCAGAGGAGGAAAGAAGAATAGCAACAGCTGTATCCTCGAACACCTTGTCATCTCTGGATATCGAGCACTCCCACATGAATGCTTCACAGTGCTACACAGAGTCCCTCAATATCGTACAAAGGGACTTCGGATACGCCATCTGTACATAGCTGAAGCATTAGCTATTCGAGATCTGAAACCGGACCTCTGCATTCAAAAGTGATACATACATTCACTCGCCCTACCATGGCCAGAGTAAAGTCCTACAATTTTGCTTCATTCCTTTATTATGTAAGTTCACTATTATTATTGTTATTACTACTATTATTTTATTATCATTATTATTCCCATCATCCATATTTTATTACCACTCTATTACTGTTTATTAATAACATTGCTTTTTCATACAGATTTTATATAAAAACACTTTATCGCCTTTCCACTAGTTCCTGTCCATTCTACACAAGCTTATTGATTAGTCATTATCTCACACTTATTACGTCATGCCAACTTCTGTCTCCTTTCTAACTTACAATTAGTCATCACTTCCTACACCTTACATTATGTAATGCAATTTTTCAAGAACAAAATTTACCAGTATCTGATTGGTCTAAAGATTTCTTTGTTAATTATAATTACGATTGTACAGCTCGTGAAAATGAATCGTCGAAAAGGAAATTTTCTTCGCTGTTTGTGCCTTTTTCTTATGATTCAATATGGGAATATTTCGTTCAAAAAGGTTTTATTTACAAGTTTAATTACGAGCTGAAATCAGATAGAGAACCACTGGAAATCCAGAGTTTTATATATATAAACAAATATTAGATTGCATTGTTAAGGACGTACGAATTATTAGAGATATCGTGAATACAAATATCGTTTGCCTACGCCAACAATGTGTACAACGATTACTTGATTTCATAGTCTTCTGCTTTTAAACGACAACACGCAATGAGATGAGACAGAAGAATATGATATTTACGAAAGGGAACAAACGATATTAATGTAGGGAACGAAGAAACAAAGAATGTATACATGTGCCAATGACGTAGGCAGCAGAAATGATGATAATCTATCGGTTATCTGTTTACTCATCTATGAGACAGCTGATTGGTCCATTTTCCAGACAATTTATTGATCCACATATCAGGGAATACTGGAAGGGTGTTTCGCCCTAGTTTTGCGACTCTTCAGTAGTACACACACATCAGGGTTCAAACATGGGACCTCCATAGACCATTCAGCCACTGGGACCTGATCCAATAGCTCATGAAGAAGGACAAAACAGCTATCAAGTACTCCCTGATTTTCCCGTGGTTCTCTAACTAATACCAATGCGTAATGAAACCAACACTTGACAATGACCTTTATCATTTTTTTAAAGTTTTTGAAGTCATACTTTAGAATTTAATTGGTGGATGGTGACTAGCAGTGGAATCAACCAGCATGCGCATCTCTTCGTATTTGGGACTCGTCAGCTAGTGGATGTACCTGCATTCCGCAGTGAGTGATGATGTTCCAACCGGAGCTCGAACCCAGTGCCCATAGTTTCAAACGCCAAAGTGTTATCCACTAGACCACTTTGGCCACGAGAGCCACCTCTCCCTTGCGCAATAGGTCATATTAATTATTTAATTGAATTCAATTCTAATTACATGCCCAGACATCGTCGAAGCATCTGCACAAGAAGCCAACAGACATGTCAACCTGAGACCGAGCACTTCCATCCAATCATCAATAGACGGGAAAATCTTAAATTCAATTACACACTATAGAATGATGTATATACTAATATGATCTGGTATTAAATGAATGAATCAATAGGTTCAACTATGTAGGTAACATATGCATCGGTTGTTTCAATAGTCGAATGCTTTCCATCCCCACACACGTGATCTGCTCATACTCTCCTAAACCTGGCCCATTTTACTGGCCGGGAGTGGGTCTGACGTTGGCACTCCAGCTCCATAGGAACAATACCATCACTTTTGAGACTTCTAAAGGAATTAAAGCTCCAACTACAGGAGGAACGGACGAAGATGTCAAATCGAGAATCGGGAAGGCGAGAAACACATTCATCAACCTGAAACCAATCTGGAAATCTTCGTCACTCAGAAACATTCAACAACAAAATTTCGGATTTTCAATACAAACGTCAAGTCAGTCAGTTCTTCTATACGGATCAGAAACTTGGCGGGTCACAAAGAATATTTCCAACAGCCTGTTGCAGACCTTTATCAACATCTGTCTTCGCTGGCTCTATACTGAAGATCAGATGGCCGGAAAGAATCACCAACAAGAAACTATGGGAACAAACAAAACAAGAACCAATCACCCAACAAATATGCAGGAGAAAGTGGAGATGGATTGGACACTCGCTGAGGAGGCCGCTGGATGACATCGCGCGTCAGGCCAGTGCTCGAGTGGAACCCGAAAGGGAAGCGGCGAGTGGGACGTCCAAGGGTGACATGGAGGAGATCGTGTGAAGAGGAGTTGAAACAGTATGGATTAACATGGATGGAGGTGAAAAGTACAGCAGAAGACAGAAGCAAGTGGGGGCGTGCAGTTGAAGCCCTATGTTCCACTAGGAACCCAAGGGAACAATAATAAAAATAATAATTCCACAGAAAAGACAAGGAATGCAAAGCAAAAAATCTAGATAACATAAACACATATTTCAAATGGAATACCACTCAACTGAATAAGAAAAACCCATCTCACTTACTTCAATCGTTGAACAAATTTGCATAGCTTCTTTTGGAATTTCATGATTTGTTAACATTGAAGATGACGGTACACTTTCATTAAGTGAGTGAATTTCATCTGCCAACGATAAAGATGATCTCGACGAGCCTAACTCCAGTTGTCTTGACCATAGATCTGATGTTGAGCCAGTAGTGTCATGATCAGATCGACTAGATCGTGTATCGTTTATATGCCAATTGGCTAGAATACTTTTTATTGGATGTTTTCTCAGACGTCTATGCACTGTACTGACAGCAGTTGAATGCGTTTTCATTACCGGGATTGAATCCAATCGTCTCATTAATCCATTCACCCTGAGTTTTTCTTCTTCGATATACTGCATTTCCATTTCTTTATGTACCATTTTAGGGAATGAACGTTCCTTTGTTAAATAATAATTAAAAGAAAATTATAGTGCAATAATGTGTGTGTATGTGTGTGTAAAACTTAGGCAAAACTTAGGCAAAATAAAACAAAACAACCCTGAAATGTTATTCTATGATTGTTTAGAGTTGTTTCAACCAAATTAACTGATCATCTTGGCGATAAACATTCTTAAATATCATTTTCATAACTTCTAGTATGACTATAGCTTTACTGTCACCATGCATAATCATATCATAGCTTCCACTACCCAATACTGAGATATTATATGCTGTTTATTTTCCTTTATACTTCTTGGTATTTTTTTCGCATTTTTAAAATTATTTTGTGTTCTTCCTGTTGTTTTTTTTTTGCTGTTAGTGTCTATATATTTATTTTTATTAAATACTCCTTTTAAATGTTTGATAAAATCAGATGCAAACATTGTAGATATGTGCTGAAAATTTCCACACTGTAAGACTGGTACTGTTTCTGGAATAAAGCAAATTATTATTATTGTATCCCTTGGACGACCAACTCGCCGCTTCCCTTTCGGGTTCCACTCGAGCGATGGCTTGTCTAGTGATGTCACTTGATGGTTTGTTTCCTCAGAGTATGGCCAATCCATCTCCATTTCTTCCTGCCTATTTGTTTCACAATCACTTCCTGGTTGGATCGCTCATTGCCAGAGACCCCTCGCTGTTGCTGATCTTTTCTGGCCAGCCATCTGATCTTCAGTATTGAGCGAAGACAGTTGCTGATGAAGGTCTGTAGTTCGTTTGAGATGCTCTTTATGATGCGTTGGCCAAGTCTCTGATCCATACAGCAAGTAGTCCTGACTTCACATTGGAGTTGAAAATCCGGATCTCATTTTTGATGGTGAGTGCTGTTGACCTCCACACGGACTTGAGAGTAGTGAAAGCTTGTCTTGCTTTTCCGATCCTCGGTGCTTTGATATCTTCATCAGTTCCATCCGCCTGTAGTTGAAACGATGCATCACAGGTAGGTAGGTAAAGGAGGTTGTTTCTTTCAGGTTCCTCCCATTTATTATTGCATGTAATTCTATATTAATTTCCTTATCCGATATCTCATACGCGCACAAACACAGAGAGAGAAATAGCATCCTTTACTGGATGCCATTTCGAGCAAAATTTTTCGTTCACAATTATTCATTTTTTTATAGTTCCTGTTCTCTTATGTGACATTTAAGAGAAGCTTTAATACCTAATAATTATCCGGAAAAATTATTATTCAAGTAGTATATATGGAATAATAATGGTAATAACGAGGGTGATATTATATTATATATTATTATTATTATCACTCTCTTGGGTTCCAAGTGGGAACATACGGCTTGAACAACACATCTCCACTTTGTTCTATTTGGTGTTGCCCTTTTCAGCTGGGTGCATAATCTCTCATCTCCTCCTCCTCCAAAAATTACACGATCTCCTCCATGTTATCCTAGAGGAGATGATCACTCATCGCTTCTCATTTGGATTCCACTCGAGCAATGGACTGCACTGAGTCCGATTTCATTCGATGGCCTCCTCAACGTATGCCCGATCAATCCATCTCGATTTTCTCCTAAATATATTTGTTGAGCGATCAGCTCTTGCCTGGTGGTTTGTTACCAGCCAGAGTTTCATGTTACTAATTCTTTCTGGCCCTGCCATTTGATCTTCAGAATGGAGCCGGCCAGTGAAGTGGGCAGCTGTCGATAAAAGTCTGCAGTGGCCTGTTGGAAATCCTTTCCGTGACACGCTGGCCAAGTTTCTGACCCATAGAGAAGAACCGACTTGACATTGGTTTTGAAAATGCGAATATTGTTCCTTGTGCTGCGGAGTGCAGAAGATTTCCAAACTGGTTTCAGGTTGATGAAGGCATATCTTGCCTTTCCGATTATGACTAACTTTGACATCTTCGTCCGTTCCGCCTGTAGTTGGGACGATGCTTCCCAGATAAGTGAAGGAGGCAACCTCTGTTAAAGCTATTACGTTGATGGTTATTGGTGCCTGTCTTTGTTGTAGTTGTTGGCTGGTTGGTTATCTTCATCACCTCTGTCTCTACCTTCTCTGTGTTCACCTGGAGGCTCGCCTTCGCTGCCTGCCAGCCTCTTCAGCCAGTTTGTTGGTTTTCGCCTGCCTGAGTTTGTGTGACGTTGCACAAATGTTATCTGCAAAATCCAGATCTCCTAGAGTCTTCTTATCGGTCGTCCAGCGAAGTCCTGACTCCTCGCTCCCAACAGTCCAGTTCACCACAATTAAGAATATCGTCGGTGATAATAAGCAACCAGCCTGTATTCATTTCGAACGCCTCGTTTAGTTCTCCGTTGTAAATCAGTTGACACGTGGCTCTCTCATACAGCTTTTGGATGAGGTTGATAAAGATTTGGGCACTGCACGCCATAGTGGTGAAGCAGTTACTGAATTACTTCTCGGTCAACGCTGTCTATCGAAGGCCTTTTCGAAGTCGACGAAGTTGAGGTAGAGAGAGGTTTGACTGCCATTCTATGCTTTGTTCTGTGATGACGATTCGTAGAGTTGCAATTGGATCAACACATGATTTTCCTTTCCTGAATCCAGCTTGTTCTGGTGATCTGAGGGAGTTCTGCATCCAGTGCATCCTTTATTCTCTCCAGGATGATGTGACTTAATATTTTCCTCGGCGTGGACAACAGCATGATTTCACACCAGTTCTTGCACAGGCCTAAGTCATCCTACTTTGGTAGCTTGACAAGGTAGCCAGCCTTTCTTCCAATTGGTAGATACCTTTCCTTCTTCACAAACCTTTTGCAGTAATGGCGTGAGAACATCTGCAGCAGCCTCTGGGTCCGTTCTCAGTGGTTCGGGGTGGCGGGGGGGGGGGTGGAATTCTGTCTAGGCCTGCTGTCTTCCCGGACTTCAGTAGCTTGATCGCATTTAGGATTTCTGCTTTCGTTGGAGGATTGTTGTCCACTGGCAGTTCCGTGCGTGTTGGTGATGCGGTGGTGTATTTCTGGGCGAGTTGCCGGCGGTGGTCGATTCAAGAGTCCTTTAAAGTGGTCAGCCCATATATATAGGTAATTCAATATATAATAATTACAGATAACTTACTTTATACATTCTGTCAATCTGTAGTAAACGTTCTGATAATTCCCGTTTGATTTGAGAGGCTTGTTCATCTACACTATCAAGCTGTGTAATAATTAATTAAACAGAACAAAATAAAAAGAAATTATAATGTTTCTTACTAAAAATGTGTTTTACATATATATCTATAATTGCTGATAAATCTCCTATTCGAATAAGTTGAAACCCAGTGAAGGTAGGTAGGTAGCGCAATTAAAGCAAAGAAAAGCAGAGATGAACAGATGTCAGGTAGCCTCCCAAAAGATTCTACTGTTGAGAGTTGTGAATTTAAAAGTGGCACAATTAGACAGAAATTTTTCGGGAAAAGAGGCTTTCAAAACTTCACAGTAAAACGTACCCTACTGTGTTGTTTATTGTTCAAATAACATTTTATTGTTATAAGCAACTATTCTCATTCATTACATAAAAGACAAACTGTTGGTATTAGATGGTTGGAGGCAATCGGTCACAGGAAGCACCGAAGATAGGACTAGACACATCACACTAGTTACTAGTGTCCAGTGAAAGTATTCGCTGCAGTTCTACAGGAGGTCAATCGCGAGACCGAATAGCTCAGTGATAACTTAGTCTCTGACTGAATAGCAGCACTAAGTGACGCGGGTTCGAATCTCAGGACGGACATGAGTTCCCTCAAGATTTCAGATATGCCGCCTTGCTGACTGGTGAGTGCCAACTAGCACGAAACCTAGGTCCCAGCAAGGTTTCCTGGGGCCGATTGCCTCCAACCATCTAATACCAACAATTCACAGTGCACCATGATGGTGAGCCACCTAACATGATGGCCACATTGCAAACTTAACTGACAATAGAATTCAGTCTGCACCGAAGATAGGACTAGACACATTACACTAGTTACTGGCTAGTGTCCAATCAAAAAAAAAAGACAAACTGTCTCATGGAGCCATGTCAACTTACTCTTACTTAGAGTTCAATACACTGGCTGTATTGTATGTCGGCTTTAAAATGCGTTCAAGAAACACCAGCCAGCTTGGCTAATGAAAAGAGAATAGAAGTATGTCTTTTGTAAACTAAAGACACCCAAGTATCCGTTAGAAATCCCTTAAAGTTGTATACAGTAAACGCACAAACCTCTTAGAGAGACTGAGATCAAGACATTTATTTACAAAATAGCTGAAACATTAGCTATTCAACACATTTAAACCAACACTAATTATGTAAAAGAAATACAATCAACCTTTATCTTTGCCACTGGCAACATAATGAATGAATGAATGAACTTCAGTGAAGCAAGAACAGTTAACTGAGCAGAATAATACAAGATTACATTCGTAATTCAAAAATTTGTCTTTCTGATAGCATGAACAGTTATGAAGAAAGCAAACATAAATTGTTTGGTGCTATATTCTTCTGATAGAAGGAAATGTTCATGGAAAATTCCCTTTGTAACTATATAGAAAATCAAAACAAGTGATGATTCAGTGAAGAGACTCAGGTTGATTGGTGCCATGTTTTGGTTTGACCGCCGCTAGCTCTTTTCCAGCCTGACCCTATATCAGCTAACATTGCCCGTCGAGGAAGGCGATGACTAGGCATACGTAGCACATGTCCTAACCATCTCAGTCGATGCAATTTCACAGTCTCGTCGATTGATTTCCCCGCCTTACCTAGCACTCGACGCCTAACCTCAATATTGCTCACCTTATTATTCCACTTCACGCGGGAGATAGAACGCAGACACCTATGATCGAAGACAGCTAATCTTTTCATGTCTTCTGCTCTCAATGGTCATGTCTCACAGCCATAAAGGAGGACGGAGCGGACTGTTGAGCAGTACACACGCCCTTTGGTCGACAGTCGGATATCGCGTCTACGCCAGAGACGGCGAAAACTGGCGAATGCGAACCTAGCCCTCTGTATTCGTGCTGAAATTTCGTCGGAGATCAACCCGTTGGGGCTGATGGTACTTCCCAAGTAGGTGAAGCGGTCAAATTGCTCTGCCACTTCACTTCCTATTTCTAATCTAGGGGTCGATGAAGTCCAATCCTGCAGCATCATCTTACATTTTATAGGGGCGAATCGCATGCCAAACATGCGGAGGTTGTTGCTCAGGGTGTTCAGTAGACTCTGCATTTTGTCAGAGTCCTCGCCTAGAAGGACTATATCGTCCGCGTATTCTAAGTCAACGAGATTCTTCCCTGGTAGCAAGTCAATCCCTGAGTCTCTGAAGTGAGTTAGGGTTAAGTCCATTAGTACATCTATGATGAAATTGAATAGGAATGGGGATAATGGGCATCCTTGACGGACGCCACTAGTCGTCACCACTTCAGATGACAACTCGCCATAAGCCCTTATCTGGCTGCTTGAGTACGAGTATAGTGTCTTAATTAGTGCAGTGTATTTTCTCGGAATTCCCTTTACAGCCAAGCATCATCAGAGTACCTCTCGGTTGACAGAATCGAATGTCGCCTTCAGGTGAAGAAATATGATGATTGTCGGACGCCAGTAGGAATTCCTATGTTCTAGAATCTGTCGGAGGGTGAAGATATGATCAATACACCCTCTTCCTGGTCTAAAGCCTGCTTGGTTTTCTCGTGTTTTTGCCTCCCAAGCACCACTTAGTCTACGCTGCCTAGAACCTCAGCGTCTGGGAACTCGTTATAAAAGATGTCAGTCGAGTGACTGATACTATATCGTATTCATCAAAGAGGAGATAGTAAGACTACAATGAAAGGTTCATCATGAAATAATCAATGTGTAAAATGAAACAGGTAGAAGGAGGTATATATTGAGAAAAGAGATCATATCACTAAAAATAAGACTGTATAGTATGAATGGGAAATTCATTAGTATGGAAAGAATGCTAGAATGAAGGGTATAGATTATAATCAATAATAATTACAGTAATAAATTATAATAAACAAAGTAGAAGAGAAAAAAAGGAATAAGAGGAAGGATGAACTTTTAGAGACGAGAGAAGAAATTTTAATCCAAGCTCTCGAATGTGTTCGTTTTCAATACAAAGTTCCGACTCAATAGGTCTGATTATAACAACTCCAGCTCCATTTGGAAGACGTGAATCTGCGTGGTAATGACTTCGGAATGTGGCATATAACCCTAAAGGCTATACTGACGTTAATACAATGTCCTGTGTCGACCAAGTATCAAAGAATCAAACGTTCTATGCATTTGGTTTCCCCCTTACTGAACCAATCAGGTAAAATATTCTTGAATCTGTAGATGAACCTGCCTAATCGTGCACCCTGTATAACCTAAACTATAGAAACAGTTGAGGTGGTATATGCATAAGGAACAGCTAAGGTTGGGTAAGACATTTTTCAAATTCTGGGTGAACACTGGACGGTTACTGAAAGATAGGAACAGATGTGCAGTGTAGAAAGTCTTCTTCGCTTTGGTTAGACCTTGGGATAGAAGCTCCGCAGAAGTATTTCCCTTGAATTGTAGATGCAAAAGTAGTTGCTCTATCCCCACTGCCAGTTTATGTTCGCGACTTTTATAAATTGTTAATTGGTGGATGGTGACTAGCAGTGGAATCCAGGACAACGCGCATTTCGTCCTATTTGGGACTCTTCAGCCAATTGATGTACTTGCATTCCTCAGTGAGTGATGATGTTCCCTACCTAGGCTCGAACCCAGCACCCATAGTTTCAAACGCCAAAGCGTTATCTACTAGATCACTTGGGCCACGAGAGCCACTGCCTCTTATGAGACCGAGCACTTCGGTGCAATCAATAGACGGGAAAATCTAAAATTAAATATTATAACTTGTATTGGCTTTTATAAACTCCTTTTGATATCCGTTTTCGTATAGGATATCCCAGATGACCTCGAGTTTGTTTCTTTACACAGTCTTCGGAGCAAATCGACTTCACTCTAAGCACCTGATCAAAGTATGCTTTTATTTCTTGTGTACGAAGCTGAGGATATTTTATAACTGTAAGTATCTGAAGAAAATTTATTGAAAAGGATACAAAATAGCCAGATACTTTAGTTAATAAGGATGAAGGGGAAGGTCATCGATTTCACTTAATTAAACAGTAGATTGGAGAGAATAAAAGGTTTTCAAGTATTGGTTTGTAGGGGTTTGGTTGATTGGTTACAGGATTTCATCATGAGCTGACATTGGTTAGAGAACCGTCAGAAAACCAGTTGGGAGTACTGGACAGCTGTTTCGTCCTAGTTTGGGACTCTTCATCAACACACACCCTCCGGGGCTCGAAGCCAGGACCTTCTGGTTTACAAGGCGAGCTCGTATACCATTAAGCCAATGGGACCCAATCCAATGGCCCATGAATTCTAACTTCTGCCAATTCACAACATAGAGCGACCGCTAGTCAATGTCTTCCGCGAGTATTTGTCCTCACACCCAACCTGCTGAACCCTAAGGTATTATTAAGTTCCACTATGGGTTAAATTTTTATTTTCATAAAGTCTCACAGTGTTACACAGTAATATTTACTAATGACCACATTTCGAGCACAATTTATTGCTCATAATCATATCAGGGTACTCACACAAATTTCTAACTTCGTTCATAAGAGGAAATTAAGAAGCCTGTAGATACAATAATAAATAAGATTATGAAATCTACAGCGGAATTAATACGCAAAATGAAGCCGTCACTGGGTGAGTCTAAATGGTTTAATTTAATGCCTTAAACTAATAATGCCAGTAGAATGTATGGTACTATTAAAATAAATAAGCCAGGTTATCCCATACGACCAATAGTAGATTTCATAAATACGCCGACATATGAATTATCAAATCACTTAGCTGTAATATTATGTCCGGTTAGAAATCGTTCAAACTCTAGGCTAACTAATTCATATGAGATGAAAAAGAAACTAAACGACATTCAACAACTAGAGAATGATGAAACAATGGTTAGTTTTCAAATGAACTGTCGTCAAGATTTGACAGAATAGTTCTAAAATATTTGGTTAGTTTTGATATAACTTGTCTTTATACTAATATATACCAATCAATATGGCAGCCTTAGAAGCAGTTGAAAAAGAACTAACTGCAGATCCTGAACTTACTCATAGGACGAAACTGCCCATTGAAGAAATTATTTTAGGGATTCAGTTATGCCTCACATCTAATATCTTTAAATTCCAAGACAAAATATATAGATAAACAGAAGGTGTAGCAATAGGATGCATCAACAATATCCCCTATCGTAGCAGATATCTTTATGGACAGCTGGGCAAATATTACTCTTAACACAACTCTTAATCCTACTCCAAAAATATGGTGGAAATATATGGATGACACTTCCACTCACAGTGTTACAAACAGAACACATCTATCTCTAGCTTCTTCAAACACACACATAAACTCACTAGTAAAGGCAATAAAATTCATATTTGAATCGGAAAACGAACAAGGAGAATCAGCTATGGTGTTAGATTGTAAAATAAAACGAATAGAAGAAGGTAAACTGCACTGTACACTAGCGTTTATAAAAAGGTAATGCATTCAGCTAATAGATATTTGGACTTTAATTCATCTCACCCGTTATCTGTCTGTAAAGGCAGGCGTAGTTAAGTGTCTCACAAACCAAGTAGTAGCACTAAGTAGCTCAAAAAAGACACCATTCACAGTTATTAATACTGCATCACTGTGTGATATTTCAAATCAACTTATCCAATTTATAGAACAAGATTCCTTCCTTTAAAGTAGTGTTAAAGAGATTAGAAAACACACAAAAAAGTACAATCAATAACTAGCTTACTTGACATGCATTATATAACACTTGATGTTCATATTTTTCAACTGACAGTGTACGCATTAATAATTCGTATAATTGTTCATTAGATAAAGCTACAGGCTCTGGTTGAGGTACAGCTAATTTCATTGCTTCAGGACACGGTCCTTCACCCCCGCGACATATTTGATCAAATTTTATTTTCCATGAACTTAATACACTTTCTTTGGATAAACCTTCAATTGGTTGAATACCTTGAAACTGAAAAAAACAAAAAGAAAATCATTTTAAGATTTGAGTGACAATCATTTTTAGGTATTCGGTTAATTTTATTTACCTTAGGTATTTTGTATATTGATGTTAATGACAAATCAGTTATTTCTCTAATTTAACTGACTAATTGAGTTTTCAACGTAGAAGACTGCTTCACTTACTTGGGAAGTACCATCAGCCAGTGCCAACGGGTTGATCTCTGACGAAATCTCAGCACGGATACAGAGGGCTAGTTTCGCATATGCCAGTTTACGCCATCTCTGGCTTAGTAGATGGGATATCCAGCTGGCTGTTGACCAAAGGGCGTGTGTACTGCTCAACAGTCCGCTCCGTCCTCCTTTATGGCTGTGAGACCTGGCCATTGAGAGTGGAGGACATGAAAAGGCTGGCTAGCTGTCTTTGATCATAGGTGTCTGCATTCTATCTCCCGTGTCAGGTAGTGGTATAATAAGGTGAGCAATATTGAGGTTAGGCATTGGTCGATTGCTAGTTAAGTGGGAGGGGAAATCAATTGACGAGACTGTGAAATTACATCGACTGAGATGGTTAGGACATGTGTTACGTATGCCTAGTCATCGCCTTCCTCGACTGACTGGCAATGTTAGCTGATATAGGGTCAGGCTGGAAAAGAGCTAACGGCGGTCAAACCAAAACATGGCACCAGTCAATGAAATCTACAACAGTTAGTCTAAGCCGACCACGTAGGAAGGTGTAGACTTCCTGACTGGTTGGGGTCCTCGGGATGGTAAAAACCAATGAAGGCTGGAAACAATTGGTGACATGGCTCAAAATCGTTCTCAATGGCAACGCAGATGCATCCACTCCTTGTGACTTATGATTTCCAATGAAACTGTTTTGTTCTTCGTTATTACTATTCCTTTGTCTCACACCTCTGTTTACTATCTATATCATGCATTTCTCCTACTTTCTTCTCTTGCTTTGTGTGCTACAAGGAGGGAGTGTGGCGACTTGAACTGCTGCACATATGTGCAAAGTTCTATGTCGAAAACAGACAGACAGACACGTAGAAGAAAATGTACAGCAGAGGGAAGATGTAGGTGGAGAATATTGAAAATTTAATGAATCTGGAAGCTTATAAGGAGTGAACGCCTTTGAGCCATAACACCCACCAACAGTCTCTATCCATTGGTTCTTAGCGTGTCGAATATCCCAACCAGGCAGTCTACATCTCCCTACGTGGCTCATACCAACGGTCACAGGGTGTATCAGTTCGTGCCAGGTTTTCAAGTGGACACCCTTGATTATATTTCCACTTAATTCTATGTAAGCTAACATTGTTCACCGTGAAAGGTAATAGTTTGGCGTGTGTAATGAATCTCATATCCATTCAGAATCCTAGCTTCATCAACTGAACTGTTCTCTATGGCTAAGCTAATTATTAATCACAATCTTATGCTACTTCACAAGGAAGACAGGGAACAGATACCTATATTAAAAAATACAGTTAGCCCCTCTTCGATTCATTGACTTTCAAAGTTTATGCTTCACACTCATAAAGAAAGACAAAGAGAACCGTTGAGGTATTCAACCATCCTTTGAATATCACATCTACTCCAGAGATGGCGTGATTTGGAAAATATATAAACGGAGTAATCACTGATATTCATTTCGCAAGAAGTGGCTCTTTTGACCCTAGTAGTCAACTGGATGACACTTTGGCGTTTGAGACGATGGGAGCTGGGTTTGAATCTCAATGAGAACACTTAGTTGACGAGTCTCAAAAAGGATGAGAAGCGAATCTCGGATATTATTGCTAGTCACCATCCGCCAAATATTTTTTATTCCTTCACGTTCCCTAGTGGAACATAGGGCTTCAAGCTAGAGGCTTGAAGTTTCTGCAGCAGTGTTAATTTTTACAGGATGGGGTGGCTAGCCAGCCTCATGCTCAACCTTCCCTCTTCACCTGCTTTAGTTCCGGCTTAGTGTGGTAAAGGAGTGCGCCGGCCGAGGATCGAACCCCGTACCATGTGCATGGTCGGCGAGCGTCCTAACCGCTATGCCACCGACGCCATCCGCCAAATAGCATCACGTTAATCCCCAGACACCGCTGAAGCGTCCATACACGAAGCTGATATCTTAACAGAGGACGAATGTTTCGGTTCAATCAGTCAACAGGAAAAATAAAATTAACCAAAATAAATGCTCATTATAATAAAGGTTTTCTTGTATATCCCAAGAATGAATGAAAAACAAAACGATATTGTTGTGTTTTACTGACGTTTCGCTATTTAGTGCTGCTGCTAGTAGCTTCATCAAAGCAGTATTATTAAACCAGAATTTACAAAATCTATATCTCTAAATACTTTTTTTCAATGCTACAACCACTGCAAAAGGACACTCAAAATATTGTAAAAGATTCACAGGATTTCAATTCCCAAATAGAACACCGAGAAATTGATAAAGAAGACATTATGGTAAGCTATGATATTAATTCATTATGTACTAGTATCCCTATTACCGAAAGTCTGGATATCATTTCCAGTCTACTAGAATCAGATACAACGCTATCACAAAGATGTCCACTGGACACCAGTGAAATAATTAAGAGCTTGAAATTCTGTCTAGAAAGTAATTATTTTACATTTAAAGGGAATTTATATAGACAGACAAATGGTGTTGCCTTGGGTTCACCAGCTCCCCCAATAGTCGCTGATCTTTTCATGAATAGATTCGAAGATAACATCTTTTCAAGCATACTCACGCCTAAAATATGGTTAAGATATGTAGATGATACTTTTGTAGTGCTAAACCGAGATCTACACAGTTCGTTCTTGGAGAGAATAAACAATGTATCTCGCAGAATCCAGTTTACTTCGGAAGCAGAATCAGACGTCGGTGAACTACCATTTCTAGACTGCCTGGCTAGTTAAGAGGAAGGAAAACGGACATTTTAGTATATCTATATTAAGGAAGAAAACCCATTCCAATAAATATTTAGAATTCGGATCATCACACCCCATCAGCGCAAAGGTATCAGATGTTTCAAGTCTTCTTAGACGAGCACACTCTTTGATAACGGATGAGAAAGAAAAAGAACAAATACCAAACATTATTGAGACTCTCAACCAAAACAACCACCCAAAGAACTTCATCAACAAAATCAACACTGACGTTAAGTATGGTCGAAAACGTATTCCGAAAACATGGACCTCAACAGTTGTCATTCCACATAGAGCAGAGACTCAGACGATATCAGAAGAGTACTCAATAAGCTCGATATCAGTGTTTTCTTCAAAACATCAGACACACACTGCAAAGCAACCTTGTCCATATAAAAGACCAAATCCCTAAAGATTCTCTATCTAATTGTGTCTATAAAATAAAATGCTTGCAATGTGATGCGATATACATCCGACAAACATCACCAGAATCAAAATCAGAAAAAATGAACACCGTAGAGCATCTGTTCGACCACCGAGAAATCCAGTTGGACTGGAAAAGCTTGAAAAATCATCAGCCATAGCCTGTCTACACGCTATAGAATAAGGTCACAAAATTGATTTTGACAATATTGAAATCATCATCCAGAAAAAGCATTTCAGAAATCACAAAGAACGTCTAATATCATCAGAAGCACTTCATATCAAATGGAATCCAGATTGTTCGATGAGCGAGAATGATGGACTAAGACAGAATTTGACCTGGTTGCAACACCCTCCCACTCCTCCATGAAGTGACAAAATCAACACGAATTTGTCATCAGCAATTTCATTATGTAAACACACGCTGCTTTAACCATTTTACACACTTATCAAATCCAACAATCCACACATGATGGTTTTGTTATCTTTACCAATTGGCCAATATGACAACGTGAAGATAATTACTCCATGCTGAGGAACGATGATTAACTTGTTATATATAAGCTGAGTGGATTTTTTAAATTCTGGTTTAATATTACTCCTTTGATAAAGCTACTAGCAGCAGAATTAAATAGCGAAACGTCAGTGAAACCACAATAATATCGATTTGTTTTTCATTCATTCATTGGGATATACAAGAAAACCTTTATTTAAAATGAATATCATATACCTACCAATGCCCAAATTTTTTCAAACTGTCAAAAGTGAATTTGAATAGGACATTCATTCAGTTTATCCACCATAATTAAACTTATCACAATACGCCATGCTATAGTCTACCCATTATTGCAAAGGAAACACGTTCTCACATCAATGATAACCGTATGAATTAAAAAAAGATAAACGCACGTGAGTAGCGTCTGCTTTTCTTGTAATTCATTAATTAATTAATTACACGCAATTTGTAAATTACAGAGTTCAAGATAAGATTTCACCACATTCCCGATTGGAAAGTAAAAATTATTCAGATAACAATATGTCATCTCCTTGATAACATAAACGGTCTTCAAAAAACAAAAAAGAAAGCACAATTTCATGACACTATATACTACTGATCGACTGAATTAAGTAGTTGGATATCACTCACATCAACTAGTACTGCTTACTAACTGTGTGGAAGTGATCTAAACTCAGGATGACTGTTTCCGTCATTCGGAACCGAAGTCATCATTGTTGAACTTGGTTTTTACTCACCTCAATGAGTTGAAACGATTCAGATCAAACCCGATCTGCCCTAAACAAGTGAGACAGCCGTTCGATGTTTAGTCGACTTCGATCAGGTTAACGAACACCACTGGTTAATGTAAGTGGTACAAAAACTCATATTAATTATTCAGTAGTAGTAATACTAAGTTGAATCATCCCGGAGAGAATCAAACAAGCCCTGGATGAAAATCTTCGACCACAACAGGCTGGATTCAGGAGAAACATTACGGATCATCATTGAACAAAGCTTGGAATGGCAGTCACCTCTCTATCTCACTCAAATTCATCGACTTTGAAAAGGCCTTCGATAGCCAAGGGTCAATCAAGAGGTGATTTGGAAACTACTTTGCTATTACGGGGTACCGCCAACAATTATACATCTCATCCAACAGTTGTACGACAACGCTGCATGCCAAGTAATTTACAACAGGAAACTCATGGGATACTTCGAAGAAGTGAAGACGGGAGTAAGACAAGGCTGGCTGCCTACTATCTCCAATGATTCTCCTGACTGCAGTAGATTGGATAATGCGACAGAGAGCGGGCAGCGAGGAAACAGGCATAAAATGGACCCACACAAAAAACTTGTAGGATCTGGACTTCGCCGATGATATATGTCTGATTTCCCACAAACTGGAAGATATGCAAGTGAAAAGCAACAAGTTGACAGTGGAAGAATCATCAAAGATAGGACTTCACTTCAGGTGAACATAGAGAAGGTGGAGACTGAGGTGATGAAGATTCCTGGCCAACATCAACAGCAACAACAACAACAGACAACAATCAGCATAAATGGGAGAAATCTGAAAGAAGCAACCTCCTTTTCCTACCTACCTACCCACCTACTTGGGAAGCACCATTCCAACTACAGGCGGATGGAACTGACGAGGATATCAAAGCAGCGAGGATCTGGAAAGCAAGTCAAGCTCTCATTTCTCTCAAGTCTGTGTGGAGGAGGTCAACAGCACTAAGCATGAAAAATAAGATCCGGATTTTCAACTCCAATGTGAAGTCAGTGCTACTTACTATACGGATCAGAGACTTGGCGCCGCGTCAAGAAGGGCACTTCGAACAAACTACAGACCTTCATCAACAGCTGTCTTCGCTCAATACTACTCAAGATCAGATGGCCGGCTAGAGAAGATCAGCAATAGTGAGGAATCTCTAGCAATGAACAAACCAACCCAACAGGAACCGATTGTGCATTAAATATGCAGGGAGAAATGGAGGTGGGTTGAAGGCCATACTCTGAGAAAACAAACCATCAAGTGACATCACTAGACAAGCCATTGCTCGAGTGGAACCCGAAAGGGTAGCGGAGAGTTGGTTGTTCAAGGGTGACCTGGAGGAAGTCATGTGAAGAGGAAATGAAAGCATGTGGGCAGACTTGGAGCCAGGTGAAAATGTTGGTAGAGAACCGAACGCAATGGATGGATACGTGCGTGCTGAAGCCCTATGTTCCTCTAGGAATTAAAGGAAAAAATAATAATATAGTAGTACATAGCACAAATGAGGGTAATTTAAAGAGCTGACATCATCAGGAAGTAGTAGAAGAAGAACAAGGCCAGACAGAATGAATAAAACTTTTGTTTTTACCTGTTTTTCAATATGTGTAATAAAAATCTCTCGAATATCATACATGGAACAGCTGCCAGACTTGACCATATTTAAAAGACGATCACTTTTTAGAACAGCTTCAGTGAATTCATTAACAGCACTATGAAATGCTTCATCACTACTAATAGGCAATTCACCACGTAAATACAACTGGAAAAAAAAAGAAGAAAAGAAAAACTTTTAAAAAACAACTCCAGCAAAATAAATGAAAAAATATTTTAAGTATTGGGCCATTGGATTGGGTCCCAGTGGCTTAATGCTATACGAGCTCGCCTTGTAACTAGAAGGTCCTGGGTTCGAACCCTCGTGGTGGGTGCGTACTGCTGAAGAGTCCCAAACTAGGACAAAACAGATGTCTGGTAGTACTCCCAGGTGGTTTTCCAATGGTTCTCTAATCAATGTCAGCTCATGATGAAATCCTGTAACCAAAGAAAAAAAAATATTTTTTGGAAAATATGGAAAGAAAAAAGTGAATGAATACAATTCACATGGAATCGTTTGAATCATTCCTTTCCGGTCCGGTCCGAGTGGAACATGGGTCGGCTGAGAATTGAACCCAGAAGACATGAGTAGTTGGCAGGCATTCTACCTTTGGACAGTTGACTCATAATGACATCAGTTACAGAACCATTGGAAAACCACCAGGCAGGGAGTACTGCCAGACAGTTGTTTCGCAGGCGTTCGAATCCAGGACCTTCTGGTTACAAGTTTAGTGAGCTCGTAGACCATTAAGCCACTAGGACCCGATCCAATGGCCAGCCAGCCCATGAATTCTAACTTCTGCCAATTCACGACATAGTGCGACCACTTCGCATTGTCTTCTTCTTTGATGAGCAACTGTCCTGTTGAGGAGTCCCAAACCACGACGAAACAGCTGTCCAGTACTACCTGCCTGGTGGTTTTCCAATGATTCTCTAACTGATATCAGCTAATGATGAAATCCTCCAACCAATCGAACAAACAATCCTACAAAAGTGATACTTGAAAATAGACTTATAATTCACACAAATATATATACAATTTATTAATCTCAGCTTACTAGCTGATGACATCATCAGTGATTGTATTTGTTGAAACTCAAAGTGAAACATCTAATATGCACTAGACAGCATGGATATAAGGATGATGACGAATAGCATTGCCCAATGTATTAATGGGGTAGTCCGTTAGCCTATTTTCCTCCTTCTAACATAATGTTGGCATGAAATGTAAATTTCAGCAAATTGTTGATCAGGAGAATATTGCACTTTATCTTGAATGGTTTCCAGATATAACCGTCGTTAACCACCAGGGAATACCGAACAGCTGTTTCGTCCTAGTTTGAGACTCTTCATCAGTACGTAGCCATGACCCAAGATAACAGGGATTGTATCCGTCACCTTCAAGTTAAAAGGTTAGCTCGTTGACCATCCAACCACTGGGACCGAACCTAATGACCTAGGAATTCTAACTTCTACCAACTGGTGATGCATTACGTGACTACCAGCCATTGGTGACATTGGTGAATATTTGTCCTCACACCCTTAATCAAGATCTAACACGAACTAACTTATTCCTAAGTTGTGTAACATCTGCTTTAAATGGACATTCCGAAAGGGATTATTTATAGATTATTAAATATTATCTGAGTCTCCAAGTTCTGAGAATTTCATTTGGCCTTTGAATACAACGTCTTGATACATTAAAGTTTCTGGAAACCATCTAGAGTCGCTGATATCTGGAAGTATAATAGTTTCCTAATTGACACATCTGACTGTCAGGTTTTTGAACACTTGAAATTATATTTTGTAAATTGTAATTCTCGAAGAAGCACTTCGCCAATATGAACACATATTATTATTATTGTTAACTTTAGTTCCTAGAGGAATATAGGGTTTCAGCCACGCACGTATCCATCCATTGCGTTTGGTTCTCTGCCAACTTTTCTGCCACTCACCATTCGGGATCCACTCGAGCGATGGCCTGGCATGTGATGTCAGTTGATGGTTTGTTTTCTCAGAGTATGCCCAATCCACCTACCTCCATTTATTCCTGCTTATTTGCTGCACAATCGGATCCTGATGAGTTGGTTCGCTCATTCCTATAGATACCTCCCTATTGCTGATCTTTTCTAGCCGACCATCTGATCTTGAGTAGTATTGAGCGAAGACAGCTGTTGGTGAAGGTTTGTAGTTTGATCGAAGTACCCTTCTTGACGCGGCACAAAGTCTCTGATCCGTATGATAACTAGCACTGACTTAATATTGGAGTTGAAAATCCGGATCTTGTTTTTCACGCTGAGTGCTGTTGACCTCCTCCACACAGACTTGAGAGAAATGAAAGCTTGACTTGCTTTCCCGATCCTCGCTGCTTATATATCTTCGTCAGTTTCATCTGCCTGTAGTTGGAACGATGCTCCTCAGGTAGGTAGGTAGGTAGGTATTTAAAGGAGGTTGCTTCTTTCAGATTTCTCACATTTATGCTGATTAACCAGATGCCCAGTTTTGATCTAATCTATTGATGAACACATTGCATCAACAGCCGAGGATTAGACGCTTGGCGGTCATTCTTGAGGTTGAACAGTTCAGTGGTAATGTCTCAGACTTCAGAACTGGGTGACACAGGTTCAAATCCCACAGGAAAGATGAGTTCCTTCAAGGTTGTGGATATTCCCTGCTGATGAGCGCCAGCAAGCATGAAACCTGAGTTCACAACTTCCTGTCGATTACCTCCAATCATCCCAACTACTGATAACCAAAGCAAAATACACGATTAAATTATTGCTTAGGTCTATCAAATGTGATGTCGTAACAACAGAATTACTTTGATTTGCTTCTGCATCCTCGTAGACTCAAAGTTTTTTTACAGTTCATCTAAGCTGTGACCAGTAGGGTACAGCAGATTGAAGATGAGGCAGTAACTCATCGAAGAAGGCATTGCGAAATGGTCGCGCTGTGTCGTGAATTGGAAGAAGTTAGAATTCATGGTCTCGCCATTGGATCGGGTCCCAGTGGCTCAATGGTCTACGAGCTCGATAGCCTTGTAACCAGAAGGTCCTGGGTTCGAATCCCGGTGGGTGAGTAATGCTGAAGAGTCCCAAACTAGGGCGAAAACAGCTGTCTGGCAGTACTCCCTGCAGGTTTTCCATTGGTTTTCTAACTTATGTCAGCTCATGATGAAATCCTCCATGCAATCAAACAAAATCCCTACAAAACCAATACTTGAAAGTTCATCTAACTGTTTGACACAGTCATTTTTTCAATGTGGCCGCCATTCTAGACAGCTCGCTATCACTGTACACACTGATTTGATGATGATATTAGATGGTTGGAGGCAATCGGCCACAGGAAGCGCCGCTTGACCGCTAGGTTTCGTGCTAGTTGAAAATCACCAGTCAGTTAGCAAGGCGTATCTGCAGCCTTGAAGGAACTCATGTATGTCCCTTGTGAGATTCAAACCCCTGCGTCACCCAGTCAAAGTACTGCAGTCAGAGACGTTATATGAAATCATTAATTAAAATTGTGTGTACATGATTAGTATAAGAAGTTAATTGAATTCACCACCTACCTGAAATCTTTCCTTTAATATATTCAAATAATCTTTGGTAACACGTAGATATCGTCTATTCTGTCCACTAGTATTAACAGTTAACAATGGATAGGCAATACATCGAATAGCCAGGACATACCTTAAATAATTATTGGAAAAAAGTGCAATTAAAATGTAAATTGCGTCAATATTGCATATCAAAGACTGTTTTTACGTAACTTACTTCACATAAAAGAAACATCTTCAATCAGGTCATATGTCTGTCTGTCTGTTTTTGACATAGAACTTTGCACATATGTGCGGCACTTCAAGTCGCCACACTCCATCTTTGTAGCACACAAACAAAGAGAAGAAAGTAGGAGAAATGCATAATATAGACAGTAAACAGAGGTGTGAGACAAAGGTATAGTAATAACGAAGAACAAAACAGTTTCATTGGAAATCATGAGTCACAAGGAGTGGATGCATCTGCGCTAGCCAGCCATTGAGAACGATTTTGAGCCATGTCACCAATTGTTTCCAACCATTGGTTTTTACCGTCCCGAGGACCCCAACCAGTCAGGAAGTCTACACCTTCCTACGTGGCTGGTTTAAACTAACTGTTGTAGATTTCATTGACTGGTGCCATGTTTTGGTTTGACCGCCGTTAGCTCCTTATCCAGCCTGACCCTATATCAGCTAACATTGCCCACTGTCGAGGAAGGCGATGACTAGACATACGTAACACATGTCCTAACCATCTCAGTCGATGTAATTTCACAGTCTCGTCGATTGATTTCCCCGCCTTACCTAGCACTCGACCGAGGGCTTACCTCAATATTGCTCACCTTATTATACCACTTAACACGGGAGATAGAACGCAGACACCTATGATCGAAGACAGCTAATCTTCTCATGTCTTCTGCTGTCAATGGCCAGGTCTCACAGCCATAAAGGAGGACGGAGCGGACTGATGAGCAGTACACACGCCCTTTGGTCGATAGTCGGATATCACGTCTAATAGCCAGAGACAACGTAAAATGGCATATACGAAAATAGCCCTCTGTATTCGTGCTGAAATTTCGTCAGAGATCAACCCGTTGTGGCTGATGGTACTTCCCAAGTAAGTGAAGCGGTCAACGTTCTCTACCACTTCACTTCCTATTTCTAATCTAGGGGTCGGTGTAGTCCAATCCTGCAACATCATCTTACATTTTACATGGGCGAATCGTATGCCAAACATACGAAGATTGCTGCTCAAGGTGTTCAGAAGACTCTGCATTTTGTCAGCGTCCTTGCCTAGAAGGACTATATCGTCTGCATATTCCAAGTCAACGAGATTATTCCCTGATGGTAGCAAGTCAATCCCTGAGTCTCTGAAGTGAGTTAGGGTTAAGTCCATTAGTACGTCTATGATGAAGTTGAATCAGGTCATATACACACCCCTTTAATAGTTTGTCCTTTAAAATTATCCACGAGTTTGCATTCAACCACTCTTAAAAAAAAAACTACGTTTTCCACCACTTATGTATAGCTGAAACCTCATCTCATCGACTAGTTCGAAGTTCACCAACGCCAACTTTATCGACTTTGAAAAAGCCCTACGACAGTGTTCACCGCGAAACCGTTTCTATACTATACAGCGCTCCACGTAATCATCAATCTCACTTAACAACTATATGATGACGACGCCACATGTCAAGAGATTCAAACTGGAAATGTCATCATCAGGGCCTTTAAAGTGAAGACAGGAGTAAGACAAGGCAGCCTACTATCACCGACCATCTTCTTCAGTGTGGTAGGCTGTGTTATGCAGAAGAATGACGGGGGGGGGGGGAGCCAACAAGAAGACTGTGAAAGATTTGAACCTAGCGGATGGTTTGTATTTAATGTCACCGGAAAAAACCTGAAGATATACAGGCGGCAACCAACCGACAAGTTGACAGGAGAATTAGTAATGACAGGACTTTAACTGAACACAGAGAAGATGGCGGAGGGTGATGAAGACAACCAACCAACAATGACAATGAGCATCAATTACTATCAACTGGAGAAATTTGAAGGAGGCAATTTCTTTCACTTATCTAGGGAGCATAGTTCCAACTACAAGTGATGCGGATAAGGATTTCAAAGGCAAGATCGGAAAAGCAAGACTAAAATTCAATACCCTGAAATTAGTGTGGAAATGTGCTACAAGATTCGGATTTTGAAAAAGCCTTAAAAAAAGTAGATGGCTAGGTGATTAGGTAACTGCTTCGACACTATGCAGTGGCCCAAATCTTTTTTTAACCTCATTCAGTAGCTGAATGGTAATGCCACGTGCCAGATGATTCAGAAAGGAAGACTGAGTGGAGCGATTCAAAGTGAAGACAGGAGAAAGACGGGTTTGTCTACTGTTACCGATAATTTTCCAAACTGTGTTGAACAGAATCATGCAGATGACTTTGGGGAGTGAGAAGATAGGAATTTGTTCTACAGATAAAAAGACTATAAAAGACTTACGTCTAACGTCAAGTGAACCCGAAAATCTGCTGGCAAAAGCCAGCAACCTGGTAGAAGAAGCAACAGTAAAGATGAGACTTCAAGGGAACGTGGAGAAGATGGAGGCGGTGAAAATAACCAACCAACAACAAAAGGCGTATACAGCAAGATTAGGCGTTATAAAAACAAATGTCAAGTCAATTTTTTTATATGGTTCAAAGACTTGGCATGTCACCAGAAGCATTTCAAACAGCAGTGAGACTTTCATCAACAGCTACCCACTTCTCTCCATACTCAAGTTCAGATGGTCTGCCAGAGAGGATTAGTAACAAATAACTCTATCAACGAACCAACTGAGAACCTCCATTGCCCAACAAATATGCGGAAGAAGATGGAGTTGGGTTGGACACACACTGAAGAGATCGTTAAGTAACACCAAGCACCAGGCATACCCTTGAGTGGAAATCGATTGGGAAACGACAAGACCGTAATTAGAGGAGACGAGAGCCTATGAGTGATAGAGGAGGCAAACTAGACAGGACTGCAAAGGACAGGATGAAGCTCTATATTCCATTCGAAATCCAAGGGAATAACAATAATAAATAACAATAGTTTCAAGTATTGGTTTTGTAGGGATTTTGTTTGATTGCATGGAGGATTTCATCATCAGCTGACATCAGTTAGAGAACCAATGGAAAACCTGCTAGGGAGTACTGGACAGCTGTTTCGTCCTAGTTTGGGACTCTTCACCAGTACTCACCCACCGGGGTTCGAACCCAGGACCTTCTGGTTACAAGGCGAGCTCGTAGACCATTGAGCCACTGGGACCCGATCCAATGACCTGGGGATCTAGTGGGAAGCCGTGACCAGTAGGGTACAGCAGGTTGAAGATGAGGCAGTAACTCATCGAAGAAGACATTGCGAAATGGTCGCGCTATGTCATCAATTGGCAGAAGTTAGAATTGGATCTGGTCCCAGTGGCTCAATGGTCTACGAGCTCGATAGCCTTGTAACCAGAAGGTCCTGAGTTCGAACCCTGGCGGTGCGTGAGTACTGTTGAAGAGTCCCAAACTAGGCTGACGAAACAGCTGTCCAGTACTCCCTGTGGCAGGTTTTCCAATGGTTCTCTAACTGATGTCAGCTCATGATGAAATCCTACATCCAACAATAGTTTCACTAAAATTCTGCTTGCCCAAGACACTATTTCAGACAATCTCACCATCAGGTGTCAGTTTATATATATCAGTGAGAATGTAATTGAAAAAGAGTAAGTATATAGTATAATCTCACGAACTATTGTCGCATAAACAAATGAAATCAATATTACAAGAGTCAGTCAACTTACAGCTGTAGACGCTTATTATGCATTTCTTCCTCTGGATCACTAACTACCAAACATGGTGGTGGTGGTGGTGGTGTAAAATAATGCGAATTTATATTTCTACTGATTGTCATCTGTTTACTCCACTTAGATCGAGTCAGTTGACTAGCGCACAAGGGAGCTGATCGCACCGACTGTGAAGCAGATTGTACAGGTTCTGTAGACAACGTCCCCCCGGAGCATGCTGTACCAGCTGATGGTTGTCTGTGCAGCAGTGATTTCAAGGCATGCTGACGACCTGAACTTAAAGATATGCCAGCCGACACAGAATTTGTACTACTACTCATCAGTGAGGTTAAATCAGGCGAAATATGCTGTTCAGATGACCAACAACTACTTCCCACTGGACTTAAACGTGTACCCAGCGGACAAGCTTCTAGAGGACTTTCAAAACTAACACTAAATTGTGTTGCTGTTGCTGTTGAGATGTTGTTGTTGTTGCTGTAACTGGGATAACTGAATCATGCGAATTTATCTCCGAGTTGGTTGGAAAACCTAGTCTTGATGATTCAGTATTTTTAGCAGCACAATCACCTAATCGTGGTGGTCGTTGGGTATCTTTGTAGACGGTAGGAACATCAGAGACAGGATGATGATGATATTGGAGTCTTTTCCATCCGCTGGCAGGACTTTGATTGTTTGACATATATTTCAAATTGATTTTATCATTTGGTTGGAATGATTCAGTATTCAACAGGGTATTCATGTGTGGTTTCGATATCAGATCTATTGTATCGATGCTAAAAAATAAAAGAAAGAGAAGAACAAATCAGGAGAGAGAGAATTTAGTCTAAAATCATAACTTACTATAGAAATATTGTTATAAACAAAATATTCACCATTTGAATAGCTTATTATTATTGTTGTTCCCATAGGTTCTAAGTGGAACATAAGGCTTCAGAAACACATCTCCACCCTCTTTTATTCTCCGGTGTTATCTCCAAGATTGCCCATAATCTCTCATCTCCACCTCCCCGAACGATTTCCTCCATATCACCCTTGCATCGACGATCCACTCGTCATCTCCCATCCAAATTCCACTCGAGTGATGGCCTGCGTTGAGCGCGATGTCATTCGATGGCCTCCTCAACGTATTCCCCATCGATCTCCATTTTCTCCCACATATTTGTTGATCAATCTGCTCTTAGTTGGTTTGTTCCCAGTCAGAGTTTCTTGTTGCTAATTGTTTCTGACTCTCAGTTTGATGTTCAGTATAGAGCTAGTGAAGGCATCTGTTGATAAAAGGTTGCAATGGGCCGTTGGAAATGCTTTCCGTGACTTGCCTGTCAAGTTTCTGACCCGTATAGAAGTAGTGACTGGCTGACCTCACATTTGTGTTGAAAATCCGAATCTCGTTCTTTATATTGAGTCAGTGCAGAAGATTTCCAAACTGATTTAAGAGTGATGAAGGCTTTCCTGTCCTGACTATCTTTGACACCTTCATCCGTTCTGACTACCTATGGTTGAAACCGTGCTTCCTAGACAAGTGAGGGAAGTTGCCTCATTCAGATCTCTCCAATTGATATTGATTAATGCTGGTTGTTCGTTTATTTGTTAGTTGTCTCTGTCTTTTCTATATTCACTTGAAATCCTGTCTTCGCAGCCAGAGTCTTTAACCAGCTTTTTGGGTTTTCGCCTGTGAGTCTTCGAGTTTAGCTGACATATAGCATAAATGATCTACGAAATCCAAATCTTCTAGAGTCTTCTTATCGGTACAACGTATTCCTGTCTTCTCACTCCCCATGCAGAGTTTGACGTGTAATCCAGTGCACCACAATTAGGAATATCATCGGTGATAATAGGTGACCAGCCTTGTCTTACTCCTCTCTTTACTCCGAACGCTGTGCTGAGTTTTCCATTATAGATCAGTTGACACATGGCTCTTTCATATAGCTGTTGGATGAGATTGATAAAGATTTGCACACCATAGTGGTGCAGCAGTTTCCAAATTACTTCTCGGTCAACTCTGTTCGTCGAAAGCCTTTTCGAAGTCGATGCCGATGAGGTAGAAAGAGTTTTGACTGCCATTCTATGCTTTGTTCGATGACGACGCGTGCAGTTTCAATTTGATCAGCACATGATCTGCCTTTCCTGAATCCAGCTTTTACCGGTGGGGCTGGCGGAGTTCTGCATCCTGTTCATTTTTTATCCTCTCCAGGATGACGCGACTTAGTATTTTACTTGGCATTATCCCACGCCAGTTTTTGTAGAGTCCTAAGTCTTCCCTCTTTGGTAGTATGACAAGGTAGCCAGCCTTTCTTCCAATCAGTAGGCACCTTTCCTTCCTCACAAACGTTTTGCAGTGATGATTGAATGGCTTATAACGTTAAAAAAAAAAAACACACACCATCTGAAAGATGCGTCAACAATATCATGTACTTCTCATAAGGTAGTATGTCAATACTTACCTGTGCCTTTTCTCATGACAATAATTGCCAGAATTATTTCACATCTCGTCTTTTTAACAGTCTCACGCAAAATTACGAGTAATTTAGCATGAATATGAAGTATCAGCTTGATAGTCAATTTCTAGGTTTCCCGAAAGCCCCTCTCTGGTATCCCCGGTAGATTTTTTCCCAAACTCAAGCTTAAATTCAGTTTTTCAGTCTTGTCTGTTTTTATTTATAGATTTGATTTGTTCTTTTTATGATGTCTCAAAGTTTTACTGAATTAATATTTCATACAATGATTCCCTTTTATAAATTTGAACAAGGAAACAAGAAACATTGGCGCAGAATAATCTGGATCCATTTTATTTCGTTGGTTCTCATCAGCTGCGTGCAACCTGAATTTTTAAATTTATTTTATTAAAAATAAAAAGTGTACAATTTTAACAAACCTTTGTCCATTAGCAGGCATAGTGTCAGAGCGTCATAGTAAAATAAGGTATTGAGATTTACAGGGAGTCTAAAGTGTCACGACATATATATATATTTTGGTAGAGAGAAGTTTCTTGAAAAAATTAGTTAACAGTTGTGTTGTTAAGGTATATATAATTTTTCTTGATCTTCTGAGTTCTGCTCACTGTATTACGTCATCAACTTCTCATCTGACCTCATGTGCACCGTAATTTTAAAAAAATTTGATCTTCTCTTATCTAATTACGTAACTATTGCTAATTGTCTTTTGTTACCACCTTAACAACACAACTGTTAACTAATTTTTTCAAGAAACTTCTCTCTACCAAAATATATATATATGTCGTGACACTTTAGACTCCCTGTAAATCTCAATACCTTATTTTACTATGACGCTCTGACACTATGCCTGCTAATGGACAAAGGTTTGTTAAAATTGTACACTTTTTATTTTTAATAAAATAAATTTAAAAATTCAGGTTGCACGCAGCTGATGAGAACCAACGAAATAAAATGGATCCAGATTATTCTGCGCCAATGTTTCTTCTTTCCTTGTTCGAAGTAATATCTCCCTGAGAGGTGAATTTAAATCTTAAACTATTAGTTTGCAATAAATTTGGTTGATTTCAAATTAGACTAATGGCCAGTATCAGTTAGGGAACTCCTGAAAACCAGCTGGGAATGCTGGATACCTGCTGCATCCTAGTTAACCAGCAGGACTTCCTAGTTCCCAGTAGTTCTTCAACTGATGTCAGTTCATGATATGACTTGAAAACAACCAACTGCCTGAAACCAATCTAATGTCCAATCTAGCAAAGGCAGTTCACATATTCGATCTCGAAAACTCTGCATACAAAAGAGGAAGTTTGTTCAGTTATTAAATCTACAGTGGATCTGATCTGTCTTAACACCGAATGCTTAATTGTATTAGTTTCTTCACTCACCTCCTCCCATTACATTTCTACTCCCTAATTACCACTGTTGATAATTTGATTGTCAATTTAAAAACATCATGTTTCGCTTTACTTGAACACTAATACTTTGAAAAAAGAAAAAAACTAGTTCAAATCAAGTAGAAATCTTCATAAAACCAGGTTTCTTTGATTAATTCGAGCAAAGCAAAAGAATTGTTATTTTAAGGTGTACCATGAATGTAAATTTCAAATTTGACGGCAAACTTTACAGACAAGTGGACGGGGTGGGCGATGGGCTCCCCATTGCGTCCCATTTTGGCTGATTTCTTTCTAAGTAAACTAGAAAATGGACCTTTGAACAACCTTATCAGAAAGTTCTCATTTTATTGCCGGTATATGGATGACACCTTCATTGCTGATAGGATGGGAACACAATAATAGCTGAATTCAATGAAGTACATTCGGCTATGAAATTCACGTGCAAAGGGGAATCCCAAAACAAGAAAACCAGATGGTAGCATAAAAAGAAATTTGCATAGAAAAAGTACATGGACAGGACAATATACACATTTTCACAGCTTCGTTCCTCTCAAGTATAAAAGAAGTTTAGTAAAGACCCTCAGCCACAGAGTTAGAGCTATATGCTCAGAAGAAGTAATTGAAGATGAATTAAGCATGGTATATGATACTTTAATTGAAAATGGTTATCCCGACAAATTTATCAAGAAACACATGACAAAGAAAACGGAAAAGGACTACTCACTGTCTGTAAACAAGAAGCCTCTTTATATACGACTACAATTCATGGGCGATATACCAAGTGAAATAATTACGAAGAAATTAAGAAAATCAGCTGAAAGAACTTTTAATGCTGGCGAACTACACGTCTTATTCTCTACACTGTGTAACACTGTTGACTTATCAAAATAAAATCTTATCTATAATGGAGCAAAATCCACAACAGTTGGTTTAAGCCAGCCAAGTAGGGAGGTGTAGACCACTTGACTGGTTGAGGTCCTCGGGATGGTAAGAACCAATGCAGGCTGGAGACCATTGATGATATTGCTCGACATTTTCGTTCTCAACTGCTGGCGCAGATGCATTCACTCTTTGTGATTTACCAGTCATATCCAATAAAACTATTGTTTTTCCCCCTCTCACACTTTTGTTTTGATGAACCTCTCTCTCTCTACTTTATTCTCTTGCTTTGTGTAGTTCATGGAGGGAGTGTTGCAACTGGAACTGCTGCACATCTGTGCAAAGTTCTATGTTGAAACCAGTCAGTCAGATGGCAATGGCTGGCGGTAGCGTTATTATTGCAAATTGATGGAATGTAGAATTCGTGAGAAATGAGATGCCTACCTCTTACCTATATGGTCAACAGGCCTGCTGTGTTCAAGTTCAAGATACTAGGTTCAATACCCGGTAGGTGGGTAGGTACTGTTAAATAGTTCGAAATTAGGAAGAAAACACCCTCCAGTCTTTCTTAGTTTTGATTGATTATCTATCTAACTTATATCGGTACGAGACGATTTCATCACTTGTACTTCAGTATTGTGCGTCGGTGGCACAGTGGTTAGGACGCTCGCCGACCATGCACATGGTCCGGGGTTCGATCCCCAGCCACCGACGCACTCCTTCTTTACCTCGCTAAGCCAGTAATAGAAGGAAGGTTGAGCATGAGGCTGGCTAGCAACCCCATCCCGTAAAAGTCAACACCACCGCTACAGAAACTTCAAGCCTCCAGCTTGAATCCCTACATTCCACGGGAAACATAAAGGAATAAAAATGAAAAAAAAACTTTAGTATTGAATTGATAAAAGACTATTTGTCATATGATACCTTCTTTTGAATAAGACATGAACCGTAAAATAGACATTTGAATCGAGAGCACTATAGAGATCAAAAAAAGGAAGTAGTGATCAATACAAACAATCCTTCGGGGTGACAATCGGGATGTGGGAGCGG